GTTGGTGGTAAACCTCACCAAATGGGGATGTAATTACTATAATGATGGTGTGTAAATTGGATTGTACATGATACATGTACATGAGTTGATCATTATGCTATTAACTGCTTTTACATAGTACATGCATCATTTACTATTCCATCATTCTATTGTAGGTAAACATTGTTCCCATTATTGCAAAGGCTGACACCATCGCAAAGAGTGAACTGAAGCAATTTAAGGACAAGGTGAGATACAAAGTGCTGTAATGTAGCTAAAGGACAACAGTCTGAGCCAAGTTTTATCCTCACCACTTTGAAACGGTGTATTTTTTCTACTGAATACTACATTTATAGTAGTCACCTGGTTGAATACAATGTACATGTACATCGCTAAGGTTGAGTTAATGTTGGCATCTTTCAGATAATGGATGAACTTGCAAGTAATGGGGTTGAAATTTACCGATTTCCCGTGGATGATGAGACTGTAGCAGAAATGAACTCCAAGATGAATGTAAGTATGTTTTAAGATGCATGCATTGCTGATCAAGACACTGCTGTTACAAGCTGTATCTAATAAGTACACCATACACCTGTGAACATATGACACTACAATCCACTTACATCATAGCCATTCAGTAAACCCTTTTACCCTAATAGCTCCAATATTGATATACAAATTCCGCAGACTAATCTCCATACATTCCCTTTAAGATTTGGTTAAGAAAATTTGATAGAAGAACAAAGCATTAATTAGTATTTTTTCCTTACAGTAGCTGATTACTTTTTTTGATTGTGATAACCTTTTCGTTGATTGCGTAAGGTTGAAGCTCTCATAAGCAATCATCTTAGAAATTCAAAAAAGACGTGGTCATTAAATGTAACTAGAGCTGGTGGGTGACAAGAATAAGTCTTATCGTCAGCAACTGCATGGCAAACAATAGAGGGTGGTCGCTTATGAGCGCTTCAGAAACTCATTACTAAGTCATAGAGAAAAAATAAAAGAAATTAATATTAATAGTTTTTTTTTAATGAGTGTCCTTATAATTATTATCTGATATAGACATGGCTAAACTTTATGTCCAATTTTTTAGACCAAAATAACCCCTAATCTAAATATTAGTACAGCAGTTAGGTAATTTTAATCAGACGATTTTGAAGCGATTCAATAAACTCACAGTTCCTGTTTTATTGGGTCTGAGTGGCCGCTTAGGAGAGCTTAAAAACAAAGGAAAAGTCCAGTTGGGTAATCCCAAAAGTGAGCTTTTTATTACAAAGTTTAAGGGTGCGTTTCTTTACTAAAATCCAAATCCGGATTTTTAATCCGAAAACGGATACATCGTTTCTTTACTAAAATCCAAATCCGGATTTTTAATCCGAAAACGGATACATCGTTTCTTTACTAAAATTGAAAAACAGATTATTGATCCAAATGATCCACAACAGAGGTGGATTCTTTGGATCATATCCAAAACCGGATACTTTGGATACATGGTCCGAAACGTTTCTCTACTACAAATCCCAAAAGAGTGAATACAGCTAGCGGTAACTCGAAACAATTTTAATACATACAGCAGCTGACTGACAACACTGCTCATCTTTACAGCCATTTTATTTGAACTCGAGGCATGCATTAAACGATCGATTTTATCGGTCTTATCGGGATGGTAAAATCACAATACAAACAGGACCTGCAATGTACTAGTTCACAAGGACAAATCGAGACAAAACTGTAACACAACTTCGCCGGTGCGTCTTTCAAGATTTTACTTTTCCAGCAGATATCTTATTTCAAGACTCTTCTTCACTTGGCCCGCCTAAAGCCGTATCCTTGAGCTAATTAAGCCGTCCTGAGTACAAAGAAAGATCAGCAAACTTGCAACATTATCAGCAGCCATGTTATTCTTTCTCCGTGATGCCGTCGATATTGTGGGTCGTTTCTATGGAAATGAATGAAAAACAATCCTTTTTTGGATACATCGTTTCTTTTCTTAACAAAAAATCCTAATGATCCGGATTTTTGATCCGATCTCGGATTTTAGTAAAGAAACCCACCCTAAATCACAGTTAAAACAGGGTTTCACAGAGATGGTCATTACTAGGGCTGGTCACTTATGTTATTAGTCGTAAGGAGAGCTTCGACTGTATTGTGCAATTTTGATCTTTACACTCAATATCAAAACATATCTTACTCCCTGTAGTGTTATATATGCAGTATACATGTACATTTTGTATGATACAGTTCACCTTTTTCACTTTCATACTAATGTGTATGGCTGTGTGATTTGTCACTCTTCCTTCAAAATCTGTGTATGAAATGCGATGGTGTTATTATTCAAATGAAACCTCTTTGGTAGAACCTGTGAATGGGATCATTTGTTTCGTAAGATTTTGCATTTAGATAATTTGGAGTTTTTGCAAATTTTATAATATACCCTAGCCGTTATTTGGACTGAAAGTGTTTAGGTGAATTTGTTTAAAGATCAAGCCATGCATGTACATGTACACCTTTGGTAGTCATTTCCTTTAATTTTTCTCATAACTTTAAGGTTTGATTAAGCAATCATACCAACAGTAATTGTTGTCCTTGGAGAGATTCTCCAATTAAAATGATGGGACTACTTGACGTACCCTTTGAGGGGTAAAATTTGTGTGGTGGTATTTGTATTGGTTAGATGCGTTGTGGTATAGTACAACTGGGGAGCTGTTCGACGTTTAAAGCCAAAGAAATGACAAGAACTTTTTGTAACTCCACTGAATCAACTTATTGCTAGTATTAATTGGCAGTAATGGTTGATTTGTGTTGTTTAAGAATATATTTCTCTTACCGAGAGTCTCCTATCAACGTATTATACACCCCCCCTGGGGGGTACTCCCTACTCCCCTATAAAAGTGATGGGGATGCTCGTCGGAAAATTTCGAGAACACCCCTAAAAGTTTCCAGAATCTTGTTTTATGGGCGTGTCCCAAATTCATTTCCACCCCTAGGACGTACCAATTCTACAACAACAAATTATATAACTGGCACTACAAATTTTAATAGTAATAAAGATAACTTTCAAACACTTTCTTCTCAAGAGCTTTAAGAAAGTATTGTCATAAATCTTCTGGCAGCAGTCGTTTTAGGTTTTAGCACCTTAAGTGGTACAAATTTAAACCTACAAAAGGTACGACGAGCATCCCCGTCACTTTAATAGGGGAGTACCTCGCCTCGGGTTATACACCACTGAAGTAAGACCGAGTCACATTGAGGAGGAAAGCAAAGACATCTTTGAGCGCTTCGTGTCAACTAGAAGTGGACTTTTTCTGCATTCTTGAGCAGTGGTATTGTCCAATTATTCACGAAAATCGTCTCCGTAAAGTAAAGAAACTTGGAAATACAAATGGGGTAGCGTCAAGGCACATTACAAGGGAAGAACCCGCACTTCCGGTTGATGTGTGTTGCTCAAAAATGTCTTTGCTTCAACACTCTATTAACTCATTAGGGCCATTTATACGAGGAAAAATAAGACGCGTCTTAAATAAGACGCGAACTGTACCATTTATACGAGCATGTCTTATCTAATAAGACGCGTCTTAGCTAAGCCGCGTCTTATTTCAGACGAAATGTGCCGTTTATACGGAAAGTTCGCGTCTTATGTAAGACGCGTCTTATTTTTCCTCGTATAAATGGCCCTATTATTTACCTTCACACAACTGTACTCCTTGTGCATATTTAGATGTTTCTACAAAACACTTGTTGTTGTGTTTCTTTTCTACATTGTAGGAGGAAATTCCATTTGCTGTGGTAGGCAGCCGCGAGGAAGCTTTGATCAATAAAGTGAAGACAAGGGCCCGTCAGTACCCCTGGGGAACTGTTGAAGGTGAGGCATCTAATCCGTGAGGAGCGGAATTATTAAGTGCTTTCACATTCCTGTATGAGAAAAAAGTTGGCCCTTTGCCAAAGCCAAGATCTGACTGCAAGGGGAAGCCAAAACGTTTCTATGGAGAAACGTCGGCCCAGTTAGGAGTGTGACCCTAGCATCACAAAAGGGTGACCCGGCTAGGCAATCATCCTTCTAGCCGAACAAGCCTTTTGCTTCTCGATCATGTAAGAGGTTCGCCCAGGGTAACTCGGAAGGTGAGTCAGTGACCCTTCCACTTGGGACAAGTTTTCTCCATAAGTGGGGCTTGAAAAACACTTCCAGGAGCACAGTTCCTGGATCAGTTTTTTTTTTTTACTTTTATAAAGGTACTGTAATGGTGAGCCAAAGGTACGGTATAATACGTATGATACCTGCATTATCAACACACAAAACGCTCAGATGTTGAAAAAAGTGAGGTCTGGTTTTTCCTTTACAAAGCAGGCGTTGCGCCAGCATAAGAATGAGTCGTGACTTATCTGAAAAAGAAAAATATGTTATATTTTAACAGTACTTTATCTTTTAACGCTAAAATATGATTAATTTCATATGTATTTTCATTCACTTAATCATTTGTTTTCCAGTTGAAAATGAGAACCACTGCGACTTTGTCAAGCTTAGAGAGATGCTAGTTCGGTAAGTATTTCTTCCACATCCAGAATAGATAGCAAGCGGTCGTCCTTCTTCCCTCAGAGAAACGCCCAGGGACCAAAAATGAAAAATTTTGCATATTCTTGGTAAAAAGGAGGGAAGATAATGGGTGTAGGGATTTATTTTTTCTTTGCTCGGGCTTCCGCCCTCATTACTACTTGGAGAGCCACTTTGTGTTGTGGTCACTCGACCAAAATGTTAAGAGGGCCCCGGCCAATGGGGACCACTTTGCTACCCTTACGAGTAAAAACTTTGATGCTGTAACAAAGAAACCTCTAATGGTTAAAGGTTGATTGATTATTACTATTTTCAGGACAAACATGCAGGATTTGATAGACAAGACTCATAGTCAGCACTTTGAGCTGTACCGACGAAAGAGGCTGGAAGACATGGGCTTTAACGATGGCGACGGAGAGACAAAACAGGTGAGTCTACAAGAGACGTACGAGCTGAGAAGGCAGGACTACATGAAAGACATACAGGGCAGAGAGGAGCAGATGAGACAGAGCTTTGTAAACAAAGTGAAGGAGAAAGAAGCGGAGTTAAAACAAGCTGAACAAGAGGTAAGGGTAGAGTACATTCACCAGCCTGAGAAAACAGCCGACATTTCGCGACGTCACTACCGGTTTCCCCACGACATGACGTCTGAGAAACGACCTAAGAAATTCCATACTGATGAAGCGTCACTCTCCAGATCTGGGTATAGTGTTTTTGATTAGCTGAAGAAAATTTTTCACGCCGCACGACCAATCAGAAGCATTTCCCAGGTAAGGGTAGTGACGCGTCATCAGTATGGAATTTCTACGCTCGTTTCTCAGACGTCATTTCGCGGGGAAACTAGTGGTGGCGTCGCGTAATGTCGGCTGTTTTCTCAGGTTATACATTAACTTGAATCAGCCGGATTGTGGGTATTTGAAAGAAACAAGCTGAAAAAAGTGGAACTACTGCTCAAACGCTCGGATTTTATATGTGGCTGAAGATGAAGATACTGAACCACATTTTACATTATTTGCAGCCTAATACTCAACACCGTAGGACAGTACTGCTCGACAGCTTTTACTTGAATGGCCCCACTTTAAGATTTCATCCACAGACTCAATAGTCAGAACCACTTTGTACAGCATAATAAACAGTATCACAGGAAAGAACTGCTCAGTAGCTATCGTCTGTTATTATATGGCGAAAAGGAGAACTTTTTCTTGCGGAACCAACGCGGGAAATCCCGAGCCCATCTTGCCCGCTTGGGTAACCAATCAGAATGCAGGATTCGCTTCATCTTGCCCGCTCGCGGATTCAGCAATGTAATAAAGGAAAGTACTGCTCAGTAGCTTTCATTTAAATGGTCACGCTTTAAGGCTTCATCCACAGACTTTGAAGTTAAAACCACTTTGTTAAGCGCAGTAGACAATACCAGAGGATACCCTTGCTTCATCGTCCCACATTTTTTTGAACCCTCCGACTCAAAAGTTAACCTTTACCATCGCCTAAACGCTATACGTGCTTTCATAAGTGCTTTACTATGGAGATACTAATTCTGTAACAAAATTACCGGTTTCTTGGTACTTTTTCTGTTTTTCTACCAGCTTCACGCCAAGTTTGAGCATTTAAAGAAAACTCAGGTAGACGAGAAAAAGAAGCTGGAGGAAAAGAGACGGATGTTGGTGAGTGTGGCATATTTTTTCATTTTTGCTAGTTGCTTTAGAAACAATCTATGCAGTGCAATTGTCAGAGCACCCTTGAATATCCACAATATAAAACGGAATGTGGAATAGGTGGCCACCTTTAACCCTACTGGTCCCAGTAATTACCAGTATTAATTTTCTCACAGCATCAGAGCATGAAGGGAAGAAGTCATGAGCTTTAAGACAACGATCACCTAAAACTTATTGTATTGATCTTTAAACAACTTCTCCCAACTTATGCCTTAAGAAATTCAAGGAGTCCAGTTGGAAAAATTTGTGAGATGATATTAAATAAAGGAAAAGTATTCAGAAGCTGACGTTTGGAGCGCTAAACTAGAGGGTTGTCCTAGGCCTGGAACGTTTTCAGGCTGGCAGTTCCACACGTTACGCAAACTCGTCAGAGTGAATAGACTTTAGCGAGCTTAAGCAACGACGACGGCGACGGCTACGAAAACGTCACTTAAAAAGTTAATTCGCGCTGTTTCAAACTTTATCGCGCTTATTCCATCACATTCAATTTGTCTAATGTTGGTGAATTGTTCTCGAGTTGAATTCTAAAGCGCCGTATGCAAGTTGCTTGAGCTCCCCTTTGCGACGGCAACAGCAACGAGAACGGTAAAACAAAGCAATAGGTTTAGATTACCAAAAAACATTTTGCACGTGTAAGCTTTTTTGTACATTTATTTGCCGTCGTCGCACGACCATGACATTATCCTTCTTCCTAATTTCACGTTTTATGATAGACTGGAACACTAGAAAACGATTTATTTATTCTTTTTTTAACTTAGATACTGTTCTTGAGAATTCAATTCCAGGAAAATTCGCCAATATTTGAACAAGATGGAATAATAGCAAAGAAGTTTGAAGCAGCGCAAATTTACTTTTTGCGTGACGATTTCGCTGCCGTAGATGCTAATGCATCCTAGTATGGCTTAAGCGTACACAGCATACGGCGACAGTCATAAGAAACGTGCTTCTAACGCTCTCTGCTGATAATTTTTTTCCTTTCCACTCCCCCAGGATGAAGAAATCCAATTATTTAACAAGAAAAAGGCCGCTGCCCACGCTGCGCAGGCTCAGGCCCAGCAAGCTGTCGCTCAGGTCGCCAAGGAACATTTGAAAGGAAAGAAAAAATAGAAATAGAAAAAATTCTAGGACATTCCCAATTTATAAAATATTGTACCATTATGTAACTACTCGGAATATTTTAATGATGTTGTTAAGAAAAACCTGTGATAAGTCGTGAGATATTGCGGGACCAAAGGCCCATTCGTACAAGTAATATAAAAACGATAATAGGTCATTTCTGGAAGATATGAACTGAAGGACTCCCGGGAGAAATAATGGTCTTCGCTTCGAGAGTTCGCTTGTTATAAAATAAAGCGTCAACAACTATTAAAAGTATTGCTAAATAAAACAAAAAAATCATCTTCTTCACAATTATTTACTCCCTTTTTATTATTTTTCTGCGCTTTTTCACATTCGTTGCATATTTATACAGTTTTAAACTTTTGAATTAGGTACCAAACTCAGTTCTTGAGGTAGTGTTTACTTGACCAAACGCCCGAATGCGTCTCCTTTGTGTACAAAAACTAAGATCCCGTTCATATGGAAAAAACTTGTCTCAGGTAGAGGGATTATTCGTCTACACTCTCTTTTTTATAATATTATAAGACTGTTGTTTTTCCCGCCCAGGCTGAAAATATTCTTGTATTATTCTTGAATTAAAGCTCAGGACAGATACTGTCCCTAAGTATCACATGTACCGTTCATCGAACTGTTATTAGCGTTGATGTTGTGTTTTTTCGTTTTGTTGGCTAGTTTTGCATTTTAGAGAAAGGAATTATTTTATCAGTGAAGTTAAAAACACATGTTTGACTTTTACCAACCGATTTTCAACCCACAAAGTTGTATCCTTTTCAAAATGTCAGCCTCAATATTCTTATAAAATATATCTTATAGAAAAAAAGTGTACCCGAACATGCGCGTGCGCTGAGCCAGTTCTTGGCTCGGGCAAAGGGGTCAAAGTTTTCTTATAGAAACACTCGCTAAAGTTGACTCGACTGGAAGGGTGGCCCTCTTTCCTGGGACAATATTTTCCCAAATAAACGGGGCTTAAGGGCGTGTACATAAGGAGGATTTTCCCACATTGCGCATGGAAAAATAGTCATGCGAGTCATAACCTAGCTACTTCTTGTTGCTGTCCGCCACTTTAATTTCAGCAAGAGTCGTGTCCAAGATAAAAGTGACGGTAGAATTTACATTTCGTTTGCTCTCTCAAGTTGTTGCTAAACATTCATCACTGTTGTTGAAATAAGCTCTAGGGCGTTTGTTCAAGGGAACAATAGTACAATTCCTAAATTAATGAATTTGTCAGCATCTAACCAAGGTTTTTTTTAGATTCAGTGTACTTTAAATTACGGGGCTCAGCAACTGACTCGTGCACAGTCGTCTCTCATTATTAGTATTTGGCGTGGAAGACTAGAACGGGCTCTTTAACCCAAGCGCTTCACTAGTAAATAATTAATGAGTAGAGACAACTTGGAGACGACTGGGAACGAGTCAGCCTCAGCAATCTTCACTGTATATTATTAAGTCAATTAGTAAACGTAAATAAAGATATATTGCACTTAACATTGTTACATTTCAATATGTTGATTAACTCTTTAAAAACATTACACCTTCAAATTTTACATTACACGATGACAGTATGGCTGTTCTTGAATTCACGGATAATCATGTGGAATGGGAAACACCTACGTGGGTTATCAAGTTCTCTATTCTTTTGCTTTAGATGACAAGTAATATCGTCATGGTTGTGAAATTTGTCTCGCAATAAGGAATAGAGTGAGCGAAAAACGCGAGCGCGCGTGAAGTCACCCTCCTCGGGAAGAAGGCGACAAGCGGAGGGAGGTCACATCGCGTGCGCTCACGTTTCTTGCTGGCTCTAGTATCCTTGAGGAAACTTAGGGAATATGACACGAGAAAATGTTAATGAAGTCGAAATGCTTCAACCTTCCTAGACGTCAATTTTGCTCACGAAACAAACGATTTCTAGTTTAGCCATATAAGGAAATAAAAAACAATGTCCCAGGACTTCAGGGATGCCCTAAGTGCGCAAGAAATTTTCAGTTTGCAAAAGTCTAACTTTTGCATCTTAACAATTCGTTCTGCAAGTTGATGGCAGTACTTTCACTTTAATGAAAATGCGCGAGATGTTAAATGAAAAATTAGAGTAAAACTACTGAAAGAGCGCTTTCACTCACGTGAGCAGCAGCTATGCAAGTTTATAGGTCGAACCCTCCTAGAATTGGCTTGGTACACCGATGAGGCCGCCTGCCGTTACATCACGTGAAAACGCTCTTTTCGCTATTATAAATACATTATTCAACCTACAGCTGCTGCTTTAAATATTTATCCAACCTTAGATGTATACCAGTATGTTTGTGTCGGAAACAAAGTCGTGGTCTCCGCTATTTGACGGAATTGTGACAGGTAAATGTGGTTACAATTTCAACAGACTTTACGAAAAAAAAAAGTACGATTGTGCGCCACTAAACTCGGGTATGAACTGGCAAAATCTCGCCAGTGACGTAAGAAAAGCTACAAGTGATAAGCTTTGAACTTGTACCGAGGTAAACACAGTGACGTGGTAAGGTGAGATCGAAACAGTAAAAGGAATTATAAAATTAATAAGGTATTATAAAAATATAATAAAACAAAAAAAATTCAAGAGTAAATAAGACACTCTGACTTGCACGGACCAAGAACTAATACATATCATGTTTGTGCGTACAAAATATTTTCAGTTCTAGGCACCATAAATATTATATAGCTAACTTAACAACATGGACGGAAGTGAAGTTCGACCAAAACAATCTACCTTACGTGTACGCAGGTAGTTACTTTGTTTTCTATTGCGCATTTTCCTGGCGTTGAATTTTTAAAACCTCTCCGAGGCAGCATGCTCCAAGAACCCCTCCTAGAAGGGTGGATCGTTTGGACACCGTCTATTTTAATGGAAGTCCCGTCTACTTAAAATCTCCAAGAAAAACCTAGTATGGCCCAACCCCTTCATCCGGACAACTATCCTTTAGAGACAGTTCTCTTTGTCCCAAAGACAACCTACTTCAGACCACCAGGACATCGAATGTACGAAGTCAGTGTTCGTAATTCGCCATTATAGAATTGAGAAGGACATTGGGCAAATTTAACTTTCGCAAAGACTTCTGGGGTTGTTACTAAGGACAGTGAAAAATATTGGCCAATAGCTGACCGGCGCGTCGCCATTATACTATCCCAGAAACAACTGCGGGCCTTCCGGGACACGGTTCGGCTCCAGTGACCTTCTTGTTTCTAACGTGGCGAATGGCGCGAGGTGTCCATAATGCAAGAATATTCTACATTATGTGTATGATAATTGGAAGACGACTACGGTAATTGTGCTTTGTACGTGTCTCGAGTCAATGACACTCTCGCGTTGCATTAGCGACCCGAAATTCTTGTGAATGGAAAATGCTCCTAATACTGAATTTGTACCGTCATTAGAGACGACCTGGAAAATCCACAGCAATGGCCAAAATACTGCCTGAAGCCAACCCCGCCACCAAACATCTAAATAAAAATAAAGAGGATTATTGATGTATTAATTCATTAAAAAGGGTCTGGAAAGGGGGGCGGGTACTGATCTCGCATTCCTTCTCCTTCTCCCATCCGGAGCTTCCGTTACAGCTATCACCAATATTGTTTTCTTTCTAGCTTCTAGCCTACGAGCAAGCTCTCCAGGGCACTCTGGCGGCGGGGCGGGAAAAGGAAAGAGAGCTTGCAACTACGTTTCTGGAATTTGAATTCCGCCTCCAATTACCCTGAGGCTCCCCGTCGACTGTCAGATTTCCGCCAATCAGCGCGAAGCGGAAACGAGCGCGAATGTAAACAAACATTGAAAAATACGTGCCAAGGGTAATGACGCCATTACTAGTGTCATCTCCGCTAAACAGCATTTCGCATCGCTTTTTTCGATGCAGATAATCAAATTCCAGAGACGTAGTTGCAAGATCTCCTTCCTTTTCCCGCCCCACCGCCAGAGTTCTCCGGAGAGCTTGCTCGTAGGCTAGAAAGAAAACGATATTCGTGATAGTTGCCACCCTGTCGGGTCTGGTCTCGAGCGCGCGCTCGTTTTCCGAACAGCGGCTAGTAATCGAGCCTAAAGTTCATCTGAAAAGTAAAAATTAAAACTTGTCCATCCCAAGAATCGTTGAGACGAAAGCTTGTACCTATTCCCCTTATAGTTTCTGGAGCGGGGAATTACACGTGCGCGGAAGTAAGCCACAAAACGACCGATCTGTAATTGTGTGCAAACCTTCACTAACATTATAATCAACGTACCTCTGATCAGTGGAGATGGCTAGAGCTCTGATGCTGCCGTCACAAGGTGGATAGGTATGAAGCAAAGCCAAATCATGTGTCCTCCATATCCGTAAGTACCGACTAAACCCACCGGACGCGAAAAAATTTCCATCTTTATTAAGAGCGAGCGCCTGAAAAACAGAAACACAGTTACTATTTTCTAGTCGTAACTGACCTGCAAATAACTGTCGGTCATCTGTCGAGATCCAAATAAAATACACCACGCAAGGTATGCCGGGGCTTACAACCCAAAGGGCCAGGAATAATTTCTCAATGCCACCGTTTTAGCTTTTTAAAAAGATAGCAAATAGCACGACATAGCCCCTTTAAATGTCAACTGTCTTACAATTTCACGAAAGCTTAAAATAAGGAAAAACCGAGGACCGAAAACAAACTACGCTTTCAATGACAACATCACGTACCAGCATCTGATCGTCAAGTTTCTTCTCGCTCAGTAACTTGCCATTTATTGTGAAAACAGCCAGATGGCCTGTACCGTCAGTGTAGTTAACTAGCACCAGACCATCACGGGCCAGTTTCAATAACCTCGGTCTGATGCACTCCCCAGGCCCTCGCAAGGTGCGTAACAGGTTTCCTGTAGTGGTATGTAGAAGGCAAGGCCCCTCTAAAAGAAATAAAATTGACAGATTTACATCAACAAGAAGAACGTTAACACACTATGTGAAGCGTGTAGCTTTTTGGACCAGACTTAGTAACGAATGACACAGGGGGTCTATGATCTTGAGTGAAACCTTTTGGCCTGGACGGATGACCCCTGCGAGAATCAATTACCGGAGTATGGTTACTGTAGTTGCTATGATACCAACATACCCTGTGAACCGCTGACCACGATTCCTAACGAAGCGCTGACATCCACGCAGACAACTGGCTGTTCATGACCCGTAAGAATGGCCAGAGGGGAAGGATGATCTCCTTGGGAAAGAAGCAAACTTACATTAGTTTTAACATACGCATATAACAGGCGCAATTTAAATAAAGATAGTTCTCGGATCTGGAATAGTAACCCACTTTCTATGAAAAAAAAAACGTAATAAACGCTAATTTTCATTGAATTAGATGATTACATTAGAGCTCCAGTTTTCAAAGTACATTAGTTTCAAAGAACTAAGAACTGATGATCCACTATCGTCTCAGCCGTCTTGCCAACCGATAGACCGCATTCCTTATATATACACAAAAAAATTAATAGTGCCATGTCAGATTCATCCATATGAATTGTTATGGACAGATTTAACGCTTGCTCTTACGCTGTGCTTTGCGTAAGTTTCACGCGATAGGTCAAAACATGAGTGATCAGATTTCGAAAGACATGAGGTCCAAACGCGCGTGATCAAATTGCATTCTATACATTCCATTTCATTCTAGTCCAGAGTCAAAACGAATGCTGGCTACATACGTGTTGCGCATGCGTAATAGTAACACGGAATAAGGATTGCGGGCTCCTCTGGTCTGTAACTGGATAAACAATGGTGGACAAACACACTCACTTTGTACGTGTATTGAAGGTTTCTCGAGTTATCGAAACTCAATGCCTCCATAGTGGTTAAACTCTACGCTACTACTTACCCTCCGTGCGGTAACATGCGGTGACTCTCTGAAGCCGCTCACTCCAACGCCAAACTAACACGGTGGCGTCACGTGATCCCGAAACCACAAGCGCATCTCCTCCAGTTAAACCCACGTGACGTGAGTATGCCAAGCACGTGACTACATCCCAGTGACCGAACACGCACTGTGTCAATTTTCCTGTGAAACAAAGTACGGTGGTACTTAAACTGAATTGGAGAAACATGGGATTTCTAAGATACGTTGCACGGACACTTTTAATGCCTCATGGCTTAACGGGTAATCAGGTGTTACCAATAATACTACCTCGTAGTCGCGACAATGACAGTTTCCGTGAGGAGTTGGTTGAGCTGGGATTCACACCCGAAAATGTGACATTTATTAATCAGTCTTGACTACTGCAGGTGTTTATAGCCACCGAGGTTTCCTTCTCAAACGACAGACGCATATTATCTTCACTGTTAGAAGAAGCAGCGGCCTCCCGGATACTTTCCAAGCAAGCGCTACGTTATCTCGGTCTATATTTTGAATGAAATATATCCTTTCCTTGATCCTAAGCCTTAACACAAAAAAATCTACTCTCCATGACACCTTCCATAAGATGATTTTACTTATATCAAAAACAAGAATACCAGCCTCACCACTATCCGCTGAAAAGCACTTGAAGCTGTTATCCCAGTAACCGCAAGCCATGATGTGCTTGTTATCAGCGGTTACCACAAAACAGCAGGCGGTAGGTGTAACAGACTGGTCCAACGGTTCACCAAGCTGTCGCCTGTGTCGACCAGTGGGTGTCACTGCCAACAAAATCAAACAACATCCTCATTACAATACAAGCAACTTATCCAAGATCACGAGCCAAAATACAGTTAAAGCACTAGGGTTGCCAGAAGCTCTCGTAAACGAAACCTATCGCAAGGGATCGTAGCCTGGGTCGCAGACGTAACAAACCCCGGCTAGTAAGAGCTCTCTTTAGCGACTACTTGTCTCCTGGCCTGATCTATTACAGGTCCAATAGGATAATGCGACCCCGTAAAACAGCTTAGAAGTCAACAAGTTTTGTTTTTCTTCGTAGGCAGCCCAACATCTCAAGTAAGCCACCGAATTTTAGCACACGTGCTGAACACTCAAGAAAGACGGAAACAGAATTTTTATTGTAAATTTAAACTAGGACGAAGCTATAAGGAGAAACACCAGTCGATGTGAGGTCTTTCCCAAAGTCCTGTGTTTTCTTTAAGTTCTGGTATTAAAATTATTTAGCTCTACTTCAGTTTATAACCTATATTCAAGGAATTTTTTCTTTCTTGCGGGAGGATTGGGGGCGCATATTTGAATGGAGCACTCGCTTATTTAAGAGAGCATTTGCGGTTAAAACAGCTGTACGAAAGAAAAAGCTTTGAGGACAAGACAGTTCCCTTTAAACTTACTTAGCATCGGATCCTGCTCTACTTGAACACCACGAAGACTTTGCTTCATGTCCCCTAAAAAAAAAAATAACGTCCTTCAACTTTTGTTCACTCAAGCCACGCAAAGATCTGACCGTTTGCAGGGCAAACTCAGTACCTTCACTTCTCAGTTATTTTAAAACCCTGGGTTCTGTTCCTAAAAGGCCGATAAGTGCTAATCCAAGATTAAAATTTTGTCCCACTTTTTGTAATTACCTTCCTATACATTGCTTACAGTAACTTTTTGTGTTATCATTTCTTTATTTCGAAGTGAAGGCACGACAGTATTTTGTAAGCTCAAGTTACACATTCTTATACCACTGACAAAAACCTTGCTTAAAATTTGGCTTAATCCTGGGTTAAACGTAACCATCTTTCGAGGAACCGCCCCTTGAATGTTAGTCCGGGCCAGGGGATTGAACCCGTGACCAGTCCCACTTTGTAGGTCAGCGCTCTGTCCCCTGGGTTAACCCTGCAGCGGAGAGGATGTTTCAAAAAAATCCCTGTAGTAAATAGCAAATCTTTCGTGGTACGATACTTGCGCTAACATTCTCTCAAATACCAGTTTACCCATTATTCAGAGGTAGCGTCAACAAAATTCCTCACCTGACATAATCCACTTGTTGACCGAGAAACACTGGTTACAACTAATCGTCACTACGGCAGGGGAGGAGACGGTAGAGTCTGTGTTGGCAGCCACGTGAGTTACAGGGACATCAGCTGTGACTTTAAAAGTCAGATATATACCTGAAGAAAGGATATTAGACGGTAAGAAGTTATCGAAGTTTTGCAGCAACTGAAGGAGTTCCATATAGAGTGGGTAGAGCCTGAATAACAATATAGTACTAATACCATATAGGGTGTGCAAAAGGTATGCTCTTTACAAAATAACGAATGAGTCCCCAATGGTGATTATCTAGTTTCTATGGTTACGTTCACCCAGTCCAGGATAGCCTGTACACAGACGTTGTTTTCTGCGAGAATCGACGACCACGCGAGCCAGCGGTCAATAAATCCCCTCGGTTTATTTCATTCGCGCGCTCGACAATCTCTAAAGAGAAAATAGAGGGTCTGTGAACCGGATAAGCACAGAAAGAATTTCCGATCGGTTGGAAATTCGTGCGTTAAGGTGTTCCGTTCAAAAAGAACCACCTTAATCGAGTGAAGTCTAGCGGAAAATATTGAAATGTTCATTGTTTTTTTCTTTCTTTCTTAATTATGCTCTCCCCTTATCGGGCTTTTCAAGGATAATGACACAAATAAACTTAAATGAGATGTAACAAGGTTGAGAATCCCAAGTAGTAGGACTGGTAGTAGGATAACCAGTTGGTTATCTACAAGCCTGGCCCAGGATTTGAACTCGGGACTACCGAAAACAAATCCAGCTAAAAGTCAGGGCGGAACTGGAATTCCGGGCCTACGGATTACAAGTCCAGCGCTCTAACCGCTCGTCCACGCTGCCTCCTGCGCCAACGAACTAAGAATCCAGTCAAATTTTCTAGCCGGTGGAAATTCGTCCGGCGCCGTGTGAACATATCCTATGGTGATCCCTTCCCAAGAAAAAGGCCGAAGTAACTAAAAGAAGTTCATTATTAGTCATATTCTTCCAGACGTTTAATTAGTCACTGGAAACGTCTATGCTCGCACCATAAAAATATGCGTGGAGCACCCTGAATATAGTTCCTTCGGATTAGCTCACAGGTAAGAGAAAGATAAGAATACTCAAATCTGGGAAGTAGCAAAAATGGCGCGAGTTTTAATAAAGAAATTAAAGGAGACGAGATATCTGCAGTTAAGCAGCAACTAAATGAGTTACAGAAGAAAAGATATCCAAAAAAACACACACTCAAGTAACGAACTTAGCGAGGGTTTGTATCTGCATCGCGATAAGAAATCTAAAAGCGTACAACCAGTAATCAACTTACTTTTAAACGGCTCTTCTTCCTCAGGATTCTACAACAAACGAGGAAAGAAGGAAAAATCAACACCTTAAAGGGAACCTCCACTTCAACAGAAAGATAACTTTAAATCACAGGAAATAACTGTTACAGTCAAGTCAATCTAAAATATTTTTAAAGAAAGCGTTTGTATCAGAAAGAAATAACTTTTAGATTCGCCTATTTTTGTTTTCAAATTTTGCGGGCGTCGCCATCTTGAATAATTGTGACGTGTTACGGTTGCCCTATTGTTATTAAACAAAAGCTCTTTGTGCCAGAACAATAGAGCAACCGTAACACGTCACAATTATTCAAGATGGCGGCGCCCGCGAAATTTGAAAGTGAAAATAAGCGATTTTAAAATTCACTTTTCCTGATATAAACACTTTTTTAAGGATAAATTTCGAACAAATTTGTCCATCAACATAATTTTATTCGATTTAAACTTATTCTGTAGTAAAACTGGAGGTTCCCTTTAACTCTTGACGGTAATAAAATGGTCATGCAGTTGCGAGTACATGCATAGAAACGTAAAGGTAGATGTTTTAAAAAGACCGAAGCTGAAAGATTTGACTTTAGCTTTACTATTTTAATAGTAAAGCGTTTCTCTTGCTGTCACGACGTGCGCCCTTTCTTGGATACAAGAGGTTTAGTCAACAAAGCAAAGTTGCTTTTTTCGAGGATATTACGTATGCTATCTAAATCTTTCCAGCAACCTCCGCTGTGCGGAGTAACAACTCCCCAGTCTCACTATCAACCTCAAGAACTTGTCTGTACAACTATATTAATCAGAGTTTTCGTATTCGATGAGCTCCTACATCCCCAGAGTAAACGTCTGGCACCAAATCTCCTTATTACTTTACAATTGTGCGGAATCAAGTCAACCGACTTCAACGATTTTTAATCGAAGCACAAGACGAGACTGTCTACAGCCAGGCCTTCTCTTCACTATCCTCCACGATATTTCAATTGCTACTTTAATTTCCTGTGCTGATGCGTATTTTTCTAGCAATCGGACACTTAAGCCTGGTTTTCACTAGCGCATAAGCATAAGCACAAGGACATGTGTAAGCAAGTGAAAACTGGGTCGACATAAGTATAAGCATAAACACAAGAAAAACGGACAAGTTCGTTCTTTTTGTGCTTGTGCGTATGCTTATGTCGTAGCTTTGACTAGTGAAAACGGTGTTGACATTTATGTTGACATAAGCATTAGCATAAGCACAAGGCCGTGGACCAATCATATGTCACTTTGACCCAGACCTCATGCGAACATATCAAAAGTCATATGGCGGACGAATCGTCCGCCATCTTGTTTATCCTCGGGTTGAGGAGAGCTGGTATCGAGAATTGAGTCAAATATGCCATTTTGCGCGTGTGTATGTCCTTATGGTTATGCTTATGCGGTAGTGAAAACCAGGATTTAGTACTGCCTGAGTGTAGTCGCCATTTGATTTTGAAAAAAGAGGTAGATTGGGGAGAGTAGAAGTTGAGATCAAAAGAGTGCGAATTTGCCGCTTTGGAAACGGGAAGGAATTGGAGACGTTCGTCCCGTTACCGGGGAGGCGCTGGACGGCTATTGGCCATTTATCCCCCGTCCCCAGGAACAGTACCAGAAGTCTTTGCGAAAGTTTCCTCGGCCCAGTTCCCTTCTCGTTTCTAAAGTGGCGAATAAGGCTGAATGAAAGAACTGGGTGCAGTGGGTTTCCCCGCCCCGTTCCATGCCCTCTTTGACTCCTACACCACACCCCAAGCGATTTCTAGTGATCGAAGGCCCTCCAAAAATAGACTGCTAGCAATCCCTCAGGATTGCCGAACGAACGAGCAGGTTACATGCGAGAGAGCGAGGCACACACGCGAGGCAGAGTTGCTCGCTCCCACGTAATACTCTTTTCCGCGCAACAATTCTGGGGGCCTCGTTCCAGTCTACTCCAAAATTGCCTGTACTGAACGCTTCATTACAACAGGAGAAAACTCATTTCATATTCATCCCACATTCCGAAAGAGTTAACACAATACCTGGAATTCTGGGACAATTCTTGGTACATGTGGTTCATGAAGCAGTTGAGAAGGCGTCTGACCAAAGCTTTTTATTTGTTGCTCCACAGCCTGCAATGAAACAAAATTTTCCAGTCTTTATGCGTTCAAAGTATATGCCGTTTTTTTCCAGATTGAATTTCGCTGAAGTTACCTCTCTCATAACGGGATCAGCTATGGAGTCCAGATCCACACTGCCTTCGTAAGTCAGATGAAAAAACACGTTGGTGGCCTTCACAGCCTCTGGACCTGAGATAGCAGCAACAAAAACGATTTTTATTGCAGAAAAAGGACAGTAAGGTTTCAGCTTGTCCAACAAGACTAGGATGACCAATTTAAAACAAAGCAACATTTTACTTCCTCGGCATGACTCCAAACTTTTCGAAATTTCACTGAACATCGATACTTGAAAGGCGATTGGATAAAACAGGAACACCAGGTCAAGTTCTCCAAGGAACGACACGTATATGTCGGCGTATAAGAGTAAACAAAGAAGCCGAAGAGTGTTGTCCTGGAGTATTCATCAATTACAAAATTACAAAAACTCTCTTTAGACTGAAATGGAATTCACTTTTTTTATCAACAGCCTGCTGTTTGGAGTCTGGAGAATGGGCCTTTAGTCCAAAGTTAGTACTTTGTCCCCGCACCCCACGGAGGCTTTCTCTCTAGTTTTTTGGGCCCAGGGCTCGCTTTTCAGTACAAACTTGTGAGTACCACCTTTACATAATACTGCTTCCTGGTACAATTTTAGCTCTAAAGCTGAGAAAGAGTACCCTTTGAGTTGAAGCCAAAAAAAAAAATGGACAAGAGTTTTGACATTTCACCTTTCTGTTTAAATCCAAAAATCAGATCGGCCCATTCGTGTAGATGAGCTGACACGTGCTTGGATTCCAACGCCTAAGAGATAATCAGATTACACTATGGTCAGATTCCAAGAGACAATGTCGGATCAGTCTAAGATTCTGCGAACTTGCCCTACTACCCCTCCCTCACCCCAATATTAACAATAACTTCAAACTTAGGACAAAATGTTGGTAAGAGGAGGAATGGGTGTACAGTTTTCCAGCCGTTTCGAGGCTGAGCATGAGACTGGATTAGTATTTCGTCGAATTGCACCATGGGTCTACACTGATGACGCTATCACTTCTAAGAAGTTGCGTTGGAGACTGGATCCAAATTCCGCCCAAAACGTTCCCATAGTGCAATTCAACACAACACCAACCCAGTGAAACTCATCGAATCTTAGGTCAGTTTCTACCACCATGAAAAGGATCGAGGTATCCCTAATCGAAGAGTGCCTTGAGAAGGGATTCGAACAAAGTCTTTTTTTTCTCAGATTTCACAAAAAGTGTATCTGGGCGTGTTGGAAACTGCGTTTCAAGGCATGGAAGCTGCTAAGGTAAAAAAATGGAAAACCGCATGCCCAGTCTCCCAGTATATTTATTCAACCTTACTCTCGGGGAAAAAGAACCGCTAGGAACGTAACAAACCGTCCTTGGTCTCAAGAGGGTAATCTGTAGAGAAAGACCTCACTACAGCAATAATCTTGGGGTAAACAGAATATGTTTACTCAAATGTACGTCACTCACCGCTCTATGAAGCATCACAAACTCCTCAGGTGACGCCGCCCATTTAGGAAGCTCTACATCATCAATCACCACTCCATCATCATCAATACCAAATGTAAACTGAAATCAGAAAGCTAAGATAAGCCTTCTTAACTCTTCTTCAACGTTTCTACTAATACCTCTGTATCTGCGGTCTTTAAACTGACGATACAAATGAAACGAGAATCTGAAACAAGCATTATTTACCAACCAGACAACAACGGGAAAAGAAAGTTTTAAAGACAATTTAAAAGCCTCATAACAATCAAATGTCTGACTAGGGAAAAATTGTTTAATGGCCGTTGAACAGTAGCATGGCCCAAGTGGTTAAGGCCGCTTGAATTAAACTCGGTTTCCACGGGCTGAAACCCCTCTCTGATTGCCAGCAGTGGTTGTTTTCTGTAGCCCCAATCTCAACTCAACGATCATACTCGCAAAAGGGCAAATGATCAGTCTCCGGCCAGTTCGTTATGTTTATCCAAAATATGTGTTTCTGTCCTTATTTGTGGATCAAGTCCGTCGGAGTGAGGAGTTGTAGGGCTTCCTCGGTATCGAGATCCTCTTTCTTGAGGGTATCCACACTCGCTTCTGTAAGTTTGGTGGTCGTAAACCACGTGTTAAACTTAAAGCTTGCCATAGTTGTTCGTAAAAAGAAAATGCTTACAATCGTGTTTAATGCGTCAGCTGGCTACAATCGCGTTATGACTCACACCTGGCTACAGCTTCCGTCACATGTATTTAATCCTGATAAACAGGTTTATCACTCACATGCAGACTACTGGGTCTACAGCAATTTTTCTGTCGGACACTTTTAGCATTGTAAACCCTCGTTTCCACCTATGAATTTTTTTCTCGAGCAGGAATATATTGCTAGATCATCAAAGAAACATGTAAACTTGTTAGCATTAATGAAGCTGAAGACTAGGATTGGCGCTTTCATTGGAAAATAAGGAGGTTTCAAGAAAGAAGAAAACGTATGAGATTAAAATGTGACTTACGTTGTTTGAGTTAACAAACATCTCAGGCAAATAGTAAAGCTCTGGGATGAGTTCCTGAAACATAAAGCAACACTATTACTGATTTCTCAAACTAGATTTTACACAGTGAATTGAACAGCGTTTCAAGCTCACTTTAGGTGGTGGCGCTCTCATAAGTCAAGGCTGGGAGTATTGCGAGGAATATGCATGAGCCTTACATGAAGTAAAACTCCTTTTCCTGGCTCATGCGACTGATAATTACTTTTGGCAGGTTGAATCAATAAGGTTAGCGTTTTCGTGTTTTGTGAAGGAAAGTTTGTTTAGTGATACTTTTGATTGGTTTTGTCTCTAGAAACTTTGCCTGAAACGTCTCTAGCCACAAGAGCGGTATAAATAAGTACAGGGGCTACACTGCTTGGGTCCGGGGGAGTATTTAATACTATAGACTAACTTTCCATTGGAGAAGGCGGGTAGAAAAAAAAACACCAAGTATCACACAACAAAAACCGTGGTGCCTTACCGTACGCAACCTGGAATATACTGAAAAGTGAGAAACAAGCCCTTCGCTTAAGGCTTCCAGGAGGTTTAAACACTCACCTTAACATCTGAAGTGTCACGCTGACAGTTGTGCCAAGAGCGGATGATGGAACAGAAAGTTCTTCCTGGATGATCAAATTTGCCTCCCTGAAGATTCAAAAACTGGGTGGCAAATGGTTCCTGTTACAAAAAAAATTAAGGGATATAAAAATAAGGTTGTCATAGTAAAAGCTGACATGTTCTTATATTTCCTTTAAAGTCACGTAGTTGTAATTTCAGAAGGACTATAAACTGCAGTGATATTTTCACTTTTTCACAAAACTATTCAAGCATTGACTAATTATTATCATTTATAATCATTGCATATGATTTTTCCCTATTACCATGAGCAATATCAAAAATAGCAGCCACAAAAAGTTGACAAAAACCGTTAACAAAGAATTTGAGTTGAGGCGTTAGACTTTAAATAAGCCAGCAGACTTAATTTGCAGGAAGAAACCAGTCCAACTTACCACGCGAATCATCCAAGCCAGTGTAAACCCAGATGTAGAATAGTGGGTACCATAATGGAACGGTGGGATGTCGTCATTTTCATCCCAAGAAGCGTAACGCTCGATGAACTGCGCATGTCTTGTGGGATTTAAGGCTCCTATGGGCTAAGGTCGATACAAAATGATAGGCCAGTAGGTAAATAACGGATTAGAAATGAGCAGCTTGTTGCGCTGATAACACTTTTGGTTTTCGGGGAATTTGTAAAAAGTTTGGTAAATTTGTTCTTAACGTGGGTTTTACTTTAGCTTGCTTGTTCCATTTTGTTTGGATTGAAGCGACGCGAAATAGAAAGCAAAGCGAAAAAAAGAAGAGTTATTTTACAAGCCAACCCTGCTACCTGAACGCCTGAAACAGGGTCATAGTTACTCCTGTTCTTTGGATACAGTGTAAAACAGTTGCACATACTGACAAGTAAATTCTAAAAGAGAAAAAGAACTATAGCCGTTTTTATAGTCATATTTTTAAAGATTAGAGGGAAAAATTAAAGTTAATTAAAGGTTAAATGCGCAAACCATTCAATTTTTGGCCTAGTCATCTGCTTACGCAAATACAAGTTTCAATATTTAGGATATTTAAACAGCAACTGGTAACAAAACTATAGCAAAATTGCTTTCTGGCTATTCAAAAGCAATACTAGAAGCTAGGACACATCACACGTGTGACATAAAACACTTCTTAAAACGCTGTCCGCAAAAAAATACAGGTTGCCTTTTTACCTTTGAAAGATCTCTGTAGATTTTAGGATCCGTCAAATCTAGCGAGTCTGCCTCGTAATTGGTCAATACCCAAGGAAAAACAGGGTACTGATTAAGATCACAGAAGCTCCGTCCTGAAACAGCAAGACAAGAAATAATTATTGTACTAATCACTATTATGATGATTACAAATGAGCTCACCAGGCTAAAAAGTCACCATTACATATACAGCGATTTTAATTTAAGTCGTCGGAAAGCCTTAGCGACAAGAAAAAAGCAGTATGGGAAATTTCGTTTAAAAATTCCAAACCTAGCAATGAAGAACTCTGTCATAAAACAGGAAAGGTAAACGTTTGTGAGGTTTTATACCATTCTGTGGCACTGACAACCATGAAGTTATGACCCAAATTTAAAGAGATTTAAATTCAGCTACCCACATGACCTTTCAGTCTTGTCGCGTAGGCTGAAGGCCTTCAGCAGAGTACGGCCACCGTGATCGACACACGACCACGATAGAGTTAAAGCAGTTGCCACTTTTGACTTAGCAGACCAGCCATAGAGATTTACTAAAAATCATCCCTACTTACTTTAATTCTTATTTGGAATCTTACCGGCGATAGTGTTAAGAAACATCAGATACTGAAAATTGGACACTTCTCCTTTCTGCCACCGCTGCGTCATTGTTGACTTCTGGAAAAGCTGACGAGGGGAGTAGAGAGATGCGGCTCTAAAGAACATATTGATAGAATAGTTAGTTCATAAGCAGATGGGATATGATGGTCAAGGGTGAGTGTAGTCCTGAATAGGACTGTTGTTGTTGACAGTGACTGACGTTTCGACAACATGTGCGGCAGTCATCTTAACAGTCAAAGTGAGTTGTATTACGTCAGTTGATGGAGTTAAACTCTGGTTATTGACCTGATTAGTCAATTACTAGAATAGGTAGTTTTGAACCAAAAGAAAAAATGAATAAATAAACTGTTGTGACGAACACGACAAATGACACAGAAACCTGTAATATGGTCTAGTCCGCCGTTTTTTCACGTTATAAAGTGTCGAGGGCCATGAGTTTATCAGTGCAAACTGGCCAATATTAACCTTGTTTAGTTACGTCACATACTTTTAGCTCGACGCCTACAATCGGCGACAAACTTGTTGAGACACTATCCTCAAATGCGGTACATGTACTTCGGAGAAAAAATCAAATCTGCACCCCTCTCCCCCGCCCTTCCTTCAAAGTTTTTACAGATAGCGCGTACAGCGCCAAACATTTCTTAGAGGGGTTGGGGGAGAAAAAGCTTTATTTTCCTCTTTTGAAGTTGGTAAAACGTCACAAAGGCCCTTTACGGCAGTGTCTCAACTAATTTTGTCACTCACTGTAGATCTGGGGTTAGTGTCATCTCTAAATTTAAATACAGATGTAAAGTGTAGGGCGCTAAAGGAGTGATGTTGCCAAATTTTGAAACCCCAGCAAGACTCAGACAATTGATGCGAAATAGCGGAAAGTGATGGTTGAAGTGTCGTGACTTAAAGAAAGCAGGTAAAAGGAGTGACTTAATCCTGAAGTGTGAACGCCTTTCTCACTAAGTTCAGGAACCATCATTTTCTTTGTTTCAGGTTTAGAGGATGGCAAATGGTTGGTAAGTACAGAGGCGGATCTAGGGGGAGGGTGCAGGGGGTGCGCCCCCCCTCCCCTGAGATGACCTGCGGTTTTCTAATACAACTGGTATTCTGCAAAAAAACAAAAACTATGTGCTTTATTGGCGTTGAAGTAGAGCAAGAGACGAGTGCATCCCCTCCTAAAAAAATCCTGGATCCGCCCCTGAAGTAGACATTCAAAGGAAAATAAACAAGATGTAGCGTTGAGTTGCTTTACATTTCTTCTTAGCTTAATTAACCGACAAGTACACTTTGAAATTGCTTTCATTGTAGACACATCAAACGTCTGTGGTTTTTGTTTTGTTTTTGTTTTTACTTTCACCATATTTAGAATATGCACAATATTTATTTTAAAAGGACACTGCTTTCGTTATAGATTCAATTTATTCCTCAGAATAATCGTTTCGCCCGAGCTCATACAGTGGAACCTCAATATAACGAACCTCTACATGACGAAGTTTTCGGTATAACGAGGTTCCAATGTACTTGACAGTCTATATAGCAGAACGCCTTAGGCTCCGAGGCATTCTTAAACATATTCATAATGACCGAGCGCGTAGGGCAAGGTCACATATTTTTAAATGACCAATTTGATTAACATCCCCACTGTTTTAAGACCAGCAGTTCACTGAATGACCTCCTTTTCCATTATTGACCTGCCGTTCCACTGACTGAAAATAACAGCCTGTTCTGAACAATCGAAAGGTGCGTTAATCAGTTATCAATAATTTTACAAAAAAAAAACAGTAAAGAGACCTGCTTTGCGGTATCCCATAATAAGTTCCTACTCCAACGGGCGGCAGAGCTCGCACCATTTTCCTCACGGTCTGATGATCGCTAAACTTAAACATCACAGAAGCTGCGGAATAAAGCGGCAAGTAACACCATGAGGGCATACAATATCAAATTACCTCACCAATGGTTCTTCTTAGTACTACGCCCAGTAACACAGAGGAAAACATTCGACCGAATATTAAACCCTCATAACTGCTGGTTCGCATTTGACGTCATCAAAATTCAAACTAAAGAATTATTGATCCTCCTGAGTTTTTACTTTCATGAAGTATTAGAGCAGCAAAACCTATTATTGATGCAACTTTCCACTTCGAAAGGGTTCTTTATTTCTAATTTCTAAGCTTTTGCGTGATTCAGAATTTACACGGCGGCCGAGAGAGCTGCCATGTAGATCAAAAGAGAGGCTTATTTTGGAGCATTTTTCCGATCTGCACAGTCATTGTATTAGAAAAAAGTGACTTCTTCGAGAGATGAATACGCGTAGGGTCTTTGCATATTTACCTCATTTCATTTCCCTGATTATGGACTTTTTATTTTTTTTTTTTTACGGCTCTGATTTTTTTTTTTTTTTTTGATGACGTGAAATCAAAAAAAAAAAAAAAGGAGAAAAACTTTGTCATGGAACTAACAGATAAAGAAAGCAATTGGCCATTTGCCAAAAACGTTACGAGAGAACATGAAGAATAAGAATTTTAGAGTTTTTTGGACATTCTCTGACTCCACTGACCAAACCTGCTAGTTTTTTCTTAACCTCCCTACCATAGTTAGTATAGTGGAGTGGCAAAGAAGCCCGTCAGACGCCTTTATCATAAGTTTTTGTGGACTTGAAGGTGCACAACGTTAAATAGCATTCCTATAATTTAATTTTGATAATATTGGCTAATAAAAACGTCGCAGTATTTTATTCCGTCACAATTTGTGGACAATAAACAAAGATAAACAAAGAATTGTGCACTGTCAGGGAGCTGGATAATACTAAAACGAGGAACGGGGAACGGGAAAATGAAAAATGGAAACAAAACCTAACTTCAGCCCTAGCCCTATCAGTAACTTCATTTCCAATTCTCTCTTTTTCTCCCATTTTTCATTTTCCCGTTCCCCGCTCCCCGTTTTATTAACATCCTCAGGGAACTCCCAACATAAACTGCAACACCGTTTTTATCTTTGATGCTTGAACTTTTTCATAACCAGTCTCTTCTACTAACTATATCCATACAAAGCTTAAGTTCAATTAAGCAAAAGCTAGGACGTGATATCAATAACGAATTGTATAAATCCTTATGAACATATAAAGGCCGTTATGGCAAGTACTTACATCCTGTGGAGGTAAACACTTCAATTGCACAGTTCTGCAGCAAATACCGCCGAGAAAATACGGCTTTTATAGCATCCAAAGGCCATTTGCCGTGTAAGCAATCCATATACACCAGAACCTGCAAAGTGAAAAATTTAGAAACAAAAAACAACAGATGACAGATGACAGTTATACCCTACCCAGCTCAGCCTTGGCCTCGCTTACACACCTAAAAAATTTAATCCGAAGAATTATGGGACTGATTGATTGATTGATAAAGTCAACACATTACCACTAATGAGGTGTAACTGCTGGTATCCTGACGAGCGGGCTTACCCCCTTGTTTATTAGGAGCATGTGCACAGGGCCTCGGCATTGGCGGGCACGAGGCCACCGTGAAATAATCTGAAGTTTCACAAAGGTTTTCTTCAAGTTTCCCAAGTCGTTTGTTTCAGTTTTTCTTTCTCGTGCTATGGATTTCTAACGGATATTTGTGATGATACTTGTGAGTTGATTCAGCCTCGTGTATGATTAAACGTTTTGTTGTTGTTTTTATCGTCACGGATATCATGTGCCGCCATTCGCCGTTACATGAGGGTTTTTTGTCTTGCCCAAAAGCGAAAGAGATAAGAGTCTGAGGTTCCATTCGAGGTAAATAATCTCTCCGTGCCATTTCACCGTCCAGTAGTTCCAAGGAGGAAACTTAACTATGCCTAAACGGCAACTCTAAAGCCGTATATATTGAATAAGGGTCCAAACTCAATGATTTGATTTGAGTTTCCTCAGTGATTTGACATACATAATTTAAATTTTTCATAATCTCAACCTCGACTTTTAAATTAAAATGACGCTTTGTAGGCTATAACGCGCGGAAAAAACTTAGTTTTTACAGATCAGTATATCATTGTATAGTTCTGTGAATCTTTTTGGGTGGTTGCGAATCCATTCTTACAAAGACCACTATCTATTAAATGCTACCTAAACACTTTCCTCTAGTGTGATAGATATATCAAGGAAATTATTTGTGATTCTTAAAACGGATAGGAAATATATTTGAAGGCTCTCAAGAACTAATTCCAAGCCACGTGGTTCAAATATGGCCCAGTATCGACGCTATTGTTCCCCTGTGCGCGGGTGTGACCAGAAAAAATGTTGCATGACTATCGCAAGAAATATCACGATATTGAACGTGCTTTTCCACTATTCATTTTGCACGTTAAATATTTAGCAACAAGAGAACTACATTATAAACTTCGCACACAAATTTCAACACTTTATGACAAAAAAAAATTCGTCTCAAAGAAAACTGAGGCGAAACTTTTAGTTCCCCTTGGTGCTTTTGTGTTTACCAGTAGAAGAAAAAGAGAACTTACTGGGAGAGTGTCACCTTCACCTGTATTTCTCAAATTAATGGCACTCAACCCTTTAAGCCCTAAGATCAAAATTAAAATTCTCATTTGTCACCCCTATTAATTTATATTTATATATCACGCAAATACATCTTGTGTGATCATGTCTTTAATTCTCATGACCACTATGTTTTACAAGGCATTGATATTACAGGGAGGAATTTGATGCTGATTGCTCTTGGGGCTTAAAGAGTTAACATGCAACTTTGACTCTCTCGCTTCAAATTTATCCTTCCATTTCTTCATATAAAAAGACGGGGAAATGAGAGTGAAACAAGTCTTAGGGTAAAAATCATATAAAATTCATGTTATAAGTGGACTAATCAGGCAGGACTGTTTATTTGCTATACAGCCGTACATTGGAGAAAGGCTACCACTACAAATCAAGCTATCGCTTCTAGGCCTTAACACAATTTTTAGAGGGTTTAATCTTCCTTGCGAATTAAAATGAGACGACAATCCCAGTGGCGGATCCGGACTTTCAGATAAGGGGGGGGAGGGGGGGGGACTGGTCTCAAAAGAATTTATTTCGGGCCTCAGTTTGGTCTAAAAATAAGGGGGGCATCCCCTGGATCCGCCTGGTTCTTTGAGGAGAGGGGGAAACCTTCAATCCTTTCACTATAGGACTGCGGATGATTTCACTCTATCGTTTCAATCTGTGGGCGAATTCCTATGATATTGCCATTCAAATGAAACTTCCTTTGCACAGTGCCATTTATTTATAGTTTTTTTTTTTACAAAAAGAAAATTGAACTCGATAGGCTAGTTTCTCGTTTGTGTCGGCTCTTCGGATTGACATATTAATGGCTGATGTAAAACTGCTCCTCAAAGACAAGCTTAACAGTGACAGTTTCCGACCACGCTCCCCCGACACCCACACCCACCCCCGTTTATGTCTTGCAAGTCTCCAAAGACTGAAATTCTGTTCTACACTGTAGCTGTCAAGTTACTAGGCGCTGAAAGCCACAAAATGTGAGGAAAACCAACGTGGTATAACTGAGCAGTACGCCCGATCCTTTGGGTCCGTCACAACGCTTTACAATGGGGTTTTAGACTGTACGGTGATCTGTGTATAGCCGTTATCAGCTTGTTACCAGACGTTTTGGAATCCAAAAGGCACTTGTAAGGCCTACCGGATATAAGCCCATCCAAAACCCCTTACGAAATTTTATAATTCCAGGAGCTTCCTAACGTGTGAGCATTATTGACAAATGAAAAATACCTTCCTGAGGTACTGTTTATTAAAATTGGAATTGTGGTCTACTAACTTTAATTGTAAGCATTAAGTGAAAACGGCTCTTGCATCTAGAAAATTTTATTCGATATTGGTAGACTGCAAATGGAAGTGGAAAGCCACGAGGCAAACGAAACAAAAAAATCCCAACCGGTTGTCTTTTTTAACTTCCTTCAAAAGACAGCTTTGAAAGAAAAAGATGCAGCTGGTCTTGCATCACATCGGCACGTGGTTCCGTTGAAATATAAGCTTGACCCTAAACTTACAAGGAAAAAAAACTTTTTTTTAGTTATTAAAAACACTGTTCACTGCATACTAACGAAGTAAGTGCATTGCGTTATATATTGATAAAGTACTATCCTAAAATAGCCGAGTTCTATAGCAGTCGTTTGAGTGCTAAATTCTCGAACTGATTACAAGTTACAGCAAAGTTCACGTATTCTATGGACAAGACTGCGTGCAGGAGCAACTTAAAAGCTTGTGTTATTCTAAACGTTCTATAGCAAAAATCAGCTACTCTTGATAATCGATTAAGCCTTTTTCCCGAGTCGTTTAATACCATTCTTACTTTCTTGATCGAATCCTGGTAAATTATTATGAGGCTGTTTATGACGCTGTATAACGTCTTCGCTTTTCGAGTCTGTAAATAAAACCCTGAACTATAGTACTACAAGCTGCCTTTTTGTATGTTTGGTTCATAAAACATCCTTTCAACAGTTTTGGAATTTAAAGCGATGCAGCAAACGAAAAGACGCTCGGTTCATATACAGGACAACGCGAGACATGAGCTGGACAAACTCCATGGCTACTGAAAACACTTTACCGCATATTTAACGAAAACTAAGAGAAATGCTGACAATGCCACTTTATAATCCATCCACGTAGTGAAACATAACCACACGAAAAACGGAAAAATCGGGGAATAAAAAACATTTAAGGATTTTTTCAAAATTGTTTGCAAACGTAGTTAATAGTGTACCAGTAAATAATCCCGCTTGTACAACAACAATCGCTTAAAATTGTGGCGCCATTTTTCTTTCCTTTAGACTTTTGACACAAGAGAGCACGCGACTCAACTTTTCAGAAAAAAAAAACACAAACACACAAAAACAAGTTACAAATTTTTGTACTTATGTGTTGTCTCTGCTTTTAACAAGCACAAGTCATAATATAGGCTGGACTGTTATGTGTATAAAGCAATTTTTCAAGCACTGGTGAACAGATCTGAAGTTATTTCTCATAACAACTCGAGATTGCAACTGAAAATTTCAAATATAAAACAGAGAAAAAAAGAGACATAATTTGTGAAATAGGCTTACACAGTCATAGGTCTGCTTGCTTGAGCAAACGGTTAAAATACGGTATCGACTAAATTCTTTATTTATCTGCTAAAATTCGCCTGGGGCTATGCAATACACGTTCAATTTTTAATATGAATTTCCAACTTAATTAAACTGGAGGGCAATCAATTTCCTCAAACCATTATTTATTACACGGAAACAGGCACATTTTGATGTCACTTTCGCCGAAACAGACAGTTTAATCCTAGGCTCTTAAAATTCAAACCTTAAACTATTGTTACATCGTCTGGAGGATGTGACTTTTGGGCCTTCTACTTAGAGCGAGATCATTCAAGTAAAACCAACCGAGTACTGCTTGTCTCAAAAAAGAAATTACATATTGCGGTTATAATTTTTGAATCTGTAGGTGAAATACATCTCAACGGCCACAATCTCATTACAGACTTTGATAGTTAACTCCTTTGGGGTGCTGTTTATGCGAACCTGACCCTAACGTGAACAACCCCAACAAATCCTTTTAATTGCCGAGATATATTACCAGAAGGCAGGCTAAACGAAATGTTTTTGCCTCAAAGCGTTTACCACAAGTAGTGACAAAATGAAATCGTTGTCAAGGCTGACAAGGGTTGTCTAATCCTTGTTCTTACGATGAACAAAGCACGTTTGGTTATCAGCAGGTCTTGCAGCTAACTTCAAAAAAAGTCGCTGATGTTTTAAACTTATAACTTTTCTTTTAATATTATTCGCATACTCTTAAGTCTGAGCAACAAGACTTCTATCAGCACAATCTAGATTTCAATTAATGATGGTGCCTTTCCTTGAAGATTACCAAAGATGTCCATTAAAAGACGGCACCTTACTACTCTATAGAGTGTCAAAGCTTCCTGGGTTGGTTGCAATGTCTCGAGCAATATTCCAAACTTGTTTAGCTGCACTGTCTAATGCCTGTTTGGATTTACATCCAAACAGGTCCACTCCCTTTAGAAAGAAATGGGGACATTTTCGACATTGTAGACAGGACACTAGTTGTAAAAGCGTACTGTTGATTCTATCGACAAGTGCCTCATCACTCCATTCTACCTCCATGGGGTGTTTCTCGCATTCGTATAACAGCAACATGACTAGATGCACATATTCGAGGGGTTTCCCAGGCAAGTCCAGATGTTTATCATACAAAGTTTTTAACATGCTAAGACAAAGTCTTCTTCCTGCAGTAGCGAATAGCATGTCTTCCGCTTCACTGAAGTTTAATAACCACGCATCCCCTTCGGAGCTAGCGCCCTTAATGCTAGGAAACGGATCGAGCGCAAGCAAAGAGAACCCCCGTAGTTTTATGCTTGCTACAACTGGTTGTGAAGGCCATATAGTGTCTCGATTAGGCCAGCAGCATCCGTTTTGAGGCCAAATAGAACCGCAACGGAAGGCTGGGATCAGCTCTACCGTGTAACGCTCAAAGACGGTAAGCTTTGTGGAGAAATGATTGTCAACGTTTACTCGAATTTGATTCTGAAGTTCTCCTCCGCGTCGTATGGCCTCTGCGACTAAAGAAGTAAACCTTGAGCGAACTTTTCTTGCGGAAAGATACCCAGAAGCAGTGATAAATTCCGTCCAAAGGGACATGGAACGCTTTCGTTCATCGCTTAGTTTTAACATAGCGCAACCAGGTGGGCAACCTTCATCGATAAAATTAAATACTCCCATTTGATTAAGATACAAATGGATCTCGAAACTGCGTGGAGAGAGGACTTTAACACCTTCATACCTTCCGTCGATAAGCTTCAGTGAGGATATAAATCGGGGCTCGAGCGCCTCGACATGCTTTAAAAGCTCCTGTGCGGCTGTGCAAATGTCTGCCACGGTTTTATAGAGTTCGCTCTTCCGTCTGTGTACTCTGGTGTTGACAAATTTTTGTAAGCCACTGCGACGCTCGGTAAAAATGAAAGCCATGTAGAAAACGACAGCCGGCGCAATCGATCGCACACGAGTAGCAGTCACGGCGAAACGTTTTGTTTGAAACGGATGAGGGGTCTTTTTCCGGTATATAGTATTATCGTGCCACAGCTCAACCAATTGAACCTGTCAGCGGTTATTAATCCCACGAACAATAACCGAGGCCGAAACGAGACCAACAGCATGCATGAGGTCAGTAATTTTGAGCAAATTATTAGCCGCGAGGGAGAAAAAAAAACGAACCCACAAAAGCCCAATCACGACCGCCTAGATCTTCACTTTCAAAATGCAAGCACTTGAAAATTCCCCGCATTCTCAGAATACATTTTTGAATAAATTCGGCCAGCGAATTTTTGTCTGCGTGTTTACATCAAAACCGGCTCAAGCAAAGCGTTTTGCATCTCTTTGCTATATGCCGAGCCGTTTGTATATCTTATTAAACTTTCTAAACATAGACCGCCTACTGACTATTTATTATTGCTTGAAATATTGAAACTTTCGGCAACTGTTCTTGCATGGCAAGCCGAGGATTTGGTTGACCGCAACTTGAAATTAAGAACAAAGTAAGACTTGTTAGAGAATTTAAATAACCAAGCTCCAAGTCTGTACATTACAATTACTTTCTCGTCCAGAACAGACGAGACAGAACCATTTAGCATCTTCTCCTTTGAGATTCATTGTTTGCTACGGTTTTAATAACCTCGAGTTTATTGCGTTAAACACAATTTATCTGCGGCGAGTATAAAAAGCAATAAATCAAGAACAAACAACGGTTGGGATAAAAGGAACCCGAGAGAAATGACAACGATATCGAAGGCCAGAAAAACAAACCGACAAGTAAAATTATTAAACCCCATTAAGTATAACTTTTTATTAAAAGCCTTGTGATAGGAAAGTTTCACGATTTCTTTGCATTGTGGGTTACAAATGACTGTTAAGTAGCACAAACTATAATAATGACCATAATAAAAATTAAAAATAAGCAGACAAGTGCAATCCTTTACAACGAAATCCTTATAATCAAATCCACAATTTTTTGACAACAAAAATTGAAAGTGTGTGCTTTCAAAAGCCGATAATTACTGACACAGAGAGACCAGAAGAAAACGCTTAGGCCTTCACAACAAATACGGTCAAGTGTTGTTTGTTAATATAAAAATCGGCCTCCGGGCACAGTTTATCAACTTTTATAATCAATTGTCCTTATCGAATGATAAAATGGCGCGTTCCCTCTCGTCGAGGACTCATTGAATCAAAACAGTCTCATTCTTAGCTCTAACTGCTTACAAAAGGCACCGGGACATCTTGAATATTTCGTAAAAACAACCAATTCTGCTTTTTCATAACGCTTCCATTTTCTAGCAAAGGATTAGATGAAGCTAACTTGTTGTAATCGGGCTTGAAATCACCCGCCTCAAGGAAACCAACGTTTGACGACACTCCATATACACTTCATTATGGAACACCTGTTTCAACTAGCTAGCAGAGGAAGCGAAAAGTTTTCGCCGGTCCATGAAAATGCCAAACGCTTATTGCATAAAGAGAAGCAAATATGAAATAAATTCGACACATAACAGGTTAACCAGAGCGAATAATTGCTTGCTTTCATGATAAAACATTCATGGATATTATTTGCTCGTGACTCAAAATAAAACTAAAGCCACTCAAAGCACGGCGATGACAAGCTGTCAGTTTCAAGGCGTGTTGATTCAAGTTGCCGCGTGCCAGCTTAGCGTAAGGATAAGTTCACAATAAAAGAAGAAAAAACCGGCCAAGCAGCTAATATAATATTAAAACACAAGTAAAAACGGCTGGTGTTGTATTAAAATGAAACGAAAAAAAGGAATAATATGTATTCCCAGAACCAGAACCAAATCACGCAACAGAAACTCTGTTTTGATGATAAAAAAAAAAGAGCAAAAAAAATCTAAGAGGAATTATTATTAATAATTTGTTGTCTATACCAAGGCACTATTAAAACTTTACACAAAACGATGAATAAAATATTTAATTAAAAATCTCTCCGGTAGAGAACGTTGTTTTAAGTGAAACGGTCATTACTGAAGAAATACATCTCAATCTGATGTCTTCTAATGATTAAATTTACCAACGTCAAGAGAGTTAAATGTTCGCCTTTCTGAATAATACTGAAAACTAGACCAATAGAACGACTTCCACATTTCTAAATCAAGTGCAGGTCTTGATTTGTCGTGTAAAAATAGGACCGAATCACGTAGTTCAAAGGGAACTCTTTCTTTCACTGCCAGAGTCCTCGATGGAGTCTTCGACAGTACTTTCACATGGCAATATTTATTCAGTATGTAGATCTAACGTTTGAGTCTGTGGATGAAATCCTATGGTGTTACCATTCAAATGAAACCTCTTCAGCAGTACTTTCACATAGTACTCAGCTATTTATTTAGTTTGTAGTTCTAACTTTTGAGTCAGTGGATGAAATCCTATGGTGTTACCAATCAAATGAAACCTCTTCAGCAGTACTTTCAAATGGTAATATTTATTTAGCATTTAGGTCTAACTTTTCAGTCTGTGGATGAAATCCTGCTTCCCACATATGGTACTATTTATTTACTACGTGGTTCTAACTCTTAAGCCTGAGGACGAAATTCTATGTGTGACCATTCAATTGAAACCTCTTTGGCAGTACTTTCATATGATGCTATTTGTTTTTAAGCATTTAACAAATTAAAATTAAAAACTTTTGAATGACGACTTTAGCCCTTTTTGGAAGTGAACGGGTTAGACGAACATATACTCCATTTGTAACAAAGAGTGTCAGTCACGCAAGGGTAGATAATTTTAGCGAGATTAAGGGTCTTGATACTGGCAGAACTAAAAAAGTCATCAAACGACATTTAAACTAAATCGTCCTTCTTTAACTGGCTTTAATCACGTCACACATGTATGTACCGGGTCTAGCAAACTGCTATTTTAAAGGAAAATTCGTTTTAAAGGTTCGTTTTTCTTTTTTCTTATTCTTCTCTTTTTTTGTAGAAATAATTTCCATTTGGTGAACCCACGAGTCAAGGTCATCATCGGAAAGTTTGAATAAACAGCCCTTTTCGAGGCATAGCTTTAAGCTATTGGGGAAAAATAAAATATGCGTAATAATATAATGACAAAATACAAACAAAGCCTGATTTAAAAAATTAAAGTTAGCGTTAGTCCCTGTAGAACGGTTATTTTCTTTTCTAGATGAAATAAACAAAGACAAAAAATCTTTCTTATCGAAAAGCACTTACTTTTTAATTTGTTCGAAAGTCTTACCACTGAGATAAAAAAAAGCAATTAACTAATGTGAGAGCGAAATATTGAAAGTTGCGTTATTTTTAATCACAAACCTGTTAAGAATGTAAAATAAAATTAACGCGGCATATTCAAAGAGTGGGGGCGAAAACGTTATGAGTAGATACGGCAAAAAAAATCTAAACAATTTAAAGCAATTCAAAACTGGGGGGGGGATTAATCGAACAGCGTAATTAAATTTGGCGGGATAACAAAAAAGATGTTAGTATATTATATCTGTGAAATAAAGCGTGGACAAAAAATAAGTAAACAGTAGCAGTAAAATTCTTCAGTTCTAACAATGCTCCAATTAGAAAAAATAATAAAACCAAGAAGAAATACTTAAAATCCCTTTTTGTGAAATGCAAAAAGAAAAACTTTTCAAAACACAGAAGTGAGAGTTACTGATCACTCTAAAGGATCGTCTTCTACAAACTCAATAACGACATCTCACCATAAGACCGCATGTTGAGGACTGCTGGCACGTTTTTTTTTTAACAGTGCGAAATTATTTCACTGTGTGCTGGCTACACATAAAATGTTCACCAAGACGGCAATTTTGATTTCAGCGATTTTTCGACACCGATCAAGCTGGAATATGGAAAACATTGAAGCCGCAACGATATAAATAGAAAGCCCCCGAGGACCGCTCGAGCCGGCCTGGCTTATTAAACCGAAATACTGGACAGGCAAAACGGCTTTCATTTTTTAACAAAAAAAATTTCATGCTTTACATCAACGGAAAAAGGATGATTTCTTCGTATGAATTTCTTAGTGAAAATGGCAGGCTGTTACAATAACATCATTAAATATTAGCAGATCATTTTGCTACCGACTGCCGTGGAAAATAATGTCCTTTTTCGGTTTATTGCTGGTTTTCAGTGTCACGCCATTCAAAATAGATCAACATAAAAATCAAAACCGTTCCATAGATTAAGTCCAGAATCTGGGAAATGAAAGGAGGTAAATATACAAAGACCCTCGCCAAGATTCAGATCAGAGGAATATTTCGTATACGAGATATCTGAAGAAATGTTTTACCCAAATTTATAGAGATTTGTATGGAGACGCCATGCTGGTGCCCATCTGGATGGGCTCCAACATGGCGGACGGAAACCAACAGAAACATCTGTTACCGAGTTTTGCTACAAAAGCGTGAATTTATTCATCGAGGAACTCATAAACAGTAAAGTAATACTTTTTTGAAATACATAAACTGTTTAGATAGCAAAATTCCCTAAAATAAGTCATTTTTTTAACCTACATGGCAGATCTCTTGGCCGTGATCTAAATGCCGAGTCACGCAAAAGCTTAGAAATTCAAGTGCACTCTATCACAAAACCAAGAACCCTTTTGAAACGAACATTTGTATGAAAATTAGTTTTCAGTTCCTCTAATTCATCGTGAAAGTAAAATCTCGGTAGGATCGATAGTTTTGTAGTTTGAATTTAGTGACGTCATGTGAAAACCAACAATAGTACGTTCATTTGAGCCTAAGGAATGTGTTTATTAAAAGCCTACACCCTAAAGTAAACCTTGCACTCGGTTGGTTTTTAGATCGAAGTCAGGGAAACTAACAAAAATTCACAGCTCCAAGCGTTTAAATTTGGAGTTAGAAAATTCGTTCGACTCTCGCAAACTTCTCAAAAATACTGGAGTGAATATATGGGGTGTGCGGAATTTCTACAAAATAATAACCATAACAAAACAACAAACTGACAGTTGCTGAATGTTATAATCACTAAGTGTAACAAAAATTCAGCAGCTGAAAGAGAATCAGTTAATACCAGTAACCATCACTTCAAGTCACGAAGGTTTTTCGTTGTCGATTGGCCATCGATCCCATATAAAAACGATCAATCCGAACGGTTACCGACTTATATCGAGTATGGACTGAACGACTGGACGGATTGGCAGCGCCGGGAATTTTTAGAGTAATTATACAAAGTTGCCACCCCGATACTCTTTCATGAGCTACCAAAATCGTCCTGTTTACACAGTTTGCCTACATGCGAAGCCGGAAAGCAATAGGCAAGTTTCGAATGATTAAAATTCGCATTTGGCTTCGTGGCTAAGGGAGGAATGAAACTATTGTACCACTTTTAAAATGTTGATTTGTAATTGGAGTTGGCCAGGCCCTCACAACCAAATTACCAATAGATCGTTTTCACATGACGTCACAATGGCCATGCTGGTGTACCAAAAAAATCCCGTCAGGATAGGTCAATTCCGAGTTGCCTCAAGCCTCAGTTTCAAAGCGAGGCTAACAGCGAAGCTATTGATATGAAAATGATTTTTTATTCTCATGCACACAAAACTCATTTTCACAAGAAAGCTTTTGCACTTAGCCTTAGTTTTTGGTACTCGGAAATGGCCTATCTCGAGAAATTGGCATAGCCACTGAACACGTGAGTGAAAGCGATCTATAGGCCAAGAACAAAATAAAGATACAAGAAAACAAAGATAACCAATAATAAGCGATTAATAATGATCACTAAAAGACGGTTTCTTAAAATGCTAAAAGCTCGTAAGGTTCACAGATAGCGAAACCTTGGCAGCAAAGCGAGAGACTGACTGTCTTAATACAAAAAACAACTAGCTTCTTACTGTAAATACCTTAATACCACCTTAGGCTTACTATTTAAGGTCAAACTACTTAATGCGTCCCGCACCCAAGGAAAAAACAATTCGAGAAAGGCCTGGGAGAACGTATCGCTAGATACTCGGGTTCTATCGCTTCGTTTCGTGGACGGTCGAAATGGATGCGAAAAAACGTTAGTAGAGACAGAGCATTCGACCCCTTTTTTGTTAACACGAAAAGGAGGTTTACGAAAAAGCATTTCCTTTTGACAGGGTCAAAATCCTATAGATTGAGTATTGTTACCTTCGGACGGTTACCGCTAATTCATACGTAGTAACTGCTAAATAATAAGCTGCACACACTGAATATTTTAACAATAAAGGCCGTCAAAGGCTCAAACAAAACTACACACACCTTTGGGTCCAGTTTCTGATATTCCGGATTTTCCTCATCCACAGCAAAGAACAAAGCCTCAGAGGTCACGGTCAAAGAGCCTGGGGCGACCACACACGGAGCAATTAAATGACAGGAGGTCGTGAACACCACGTGACCCGAAACATCTCGGCCCAGGTTCCGATCCTCGATGATCATTTCGGCGATTTCTTCTTCGTCTAGAGAATACGAGTCTGCAGCTTTGGCGGATGAAATTTTAGCGAAGTTTAAATGTTGCGGGCTTGCTGAGACATCATGGTTTACTCCTAGAAGAAAAGTTGAAAAATAATGACTTACTTATCCTTATTTTTTTCTTCCAGAATCAAGCGAAAAGTCATCGCCGAAGAGTGATTCAGTCCTCATAAAGGAGGTTAAAAGCAAACGTTAGTCTACTCCAAGGCAGGTAAAGGGGCCATGTCACGCTATTTGCTATCTGTTTAAAGAGCTGAATCGTGTCTTCACATCGATTGAATTCCAAAAATAATGGTCCAGATTTGTCAATAGGCCATTTGCACGATGGCGTCATTTTACTACTACGTCCAGAATCCTTTTCATTTTTCCTTTCATATTTAAATTTTGCAATCCCAGTGAGGTTTGAATAACAAAGGCCCTAATTAGCACAAGAAAGCAAAACCCTGAAGGATTCTGGTCGTAGTAGTAAAATGATGTCATCTTGCAAACGGCCTCTTAACGCCACATTTAGGCATTGAAATTGCTTCCTGTTTGTCTGCTGCTACGGATAGCAAAGACGGAAGTAAATTTTTAAAGTTTTAATGTTATGCCCGCGAAAATCACCACACAATTATTACGGCCAGTGCTCTAGGATGAAATTTGTTTGATAACTTTTTCATAAATCTACAGAAGCATTTTGTGCATGAAGACGATTAAGCAGTACTTTCCCGTGCTGCGATCAATTATGCGGTACCACATTTAAATGCAAGCAACTGACCAAGTAGTACTTTTCTTTTGTGCTAGCCGTAGTGGAGGTTCTAGGCCAATTGTTCTGTGGGTAAAATCTTAAAGACTGAGGATTTGAATGAATGCTACTGAACAGTGCTTTCCTTCAGTGCTGTTAATTATGACGTTGGTACACGTTGGTAAAACTTAAGAGAGTGGAGAACGTTTAACGGTGTAGCTGCTTTTAGAGGAATCATTATCATACGTTTGGATTTTTTTACTCCTTGGATTACACCAGTCTGCTTACCCTCCACTCCTTCCAACAGTGTTGCTTCTGGGTGACTAGAGCCGTACTCATTCTTGACAAAACGCATGCGCCGTCGACTGCCATCCTGCCACATGTCCAGTTTGTAAAACTCCACACTTGATGGCTGCCGCTCCTCCGCCCATGCGCCATGTTCACTGGTTATGATATCAAGTACCTGTTCAAGTAAAAAATAACCGCTGACATGTACTCAGTTTAAGCTTTGAAAAACAGGGTTGGAAAAAAAACACAAGCTAACAATAGGCTTGTTAAAGGATAAAAGAGAAAAAGGTAAATGAGCTAATGGTTTTGTGAAGAGGGTATAACCAAGCCTAAAAAAACAGTGATGGCGACTGTAATTCAAGCGACCCGTCATTGCAAAAAGGATACTATTTTTTACGTTAACGAATCAAAAAAATATAAACTCGTGTAAGGCTAAGCAGCGAAGGCAACTCCGGAGAACGGTGAAAAACAATAATATGTGTAATTAGCAAAAAAGCAACTTTGCACGTGCAGCACACTTTTTATGTACATTTCTTTGCCGTTGTTTTGCACGATCACAACGTGAAACTTCCAGAAACTTCTTCGTTACACGTTTTATGGAGGAAATGTCGTACTTGTTCTTGTTCACATTTTTTTCACTGCCGCTCATTTTCACCTTGATTAGGTAGCCGCTAGCATTTTTTATTTTCTCACCGCCGCTACAAACTTGTCATACTGGTCTTCCAACAAAAAAATGTCTCCTTTATTGTTTATTTCTCGCTCTAGACCTCTGTCGCCCTTTTTCTCGTTTAGCTTCGCCGGCCTGCCGCCTACTTTCTCTTTTTATCTGTCTTTCTCTTGCTCTATATTCCAAATTTGTGGACATGACAATTAGTTTAAGCTTAATATTAATACTTCAGAAAACACGGATACAGGAACAATTTCCGCTTTCCGTTTTCGTCTTTATTGACTCTTTAGTTGTCTCTGCTTTACATGACTCGGATGACTATGCGATTTCCCGCCAAAATAACCTCGAGTTGCATTTGGGACGCCATCCCTGTTGATTGAGTTATTTTACATTGGTATGCCTGTGGTGCGGACGGAAGGTCGGCCGGTGTACGGTCACGTGATTACCAAATGTTCCGAAATGAGTCCATTTACTTAGCTATGGGGCTCCGCCCACGCGTGGAGCTCCGCTATTATATGGCTGAATCCGCGAGCGGGCAAGATGGGCGGGATTTCCCGCGATGGTCCCGCGATCAAGATGGCTGTATATTGGCCTCGTCCTTTTTTTGCGTTTTTATTGACCACGACTTCTTCTCGGCCAAAAAAAAGCAAAAAAGAACTTGGCCAATATCCTAGGTAAGTAAACTGTGACAACTATTGTAGAGTTATTATGTGGCAGTCAGAAGACTTTTTGGTGGCGATTTCGTTGGTGGCGAGATTACCGTAAATCCTAAGAGGCTCTCACCTTTTGAATGACATTCTTTGCGACCGAAAAGTCTCTTCTTTTCGTAGCAAGGAGAAGCTGATCCTGTAATTTGTCGTTTTCGCAGTACGTGGCTTCGGTTAAGCGACACAGCTCAACGAACTGCATATGCTTTTGTCGGGAAATTTCCTCCAGTTTATTCACGATGACAAACGCCTCGCTGGTTGTCATGACGATACGTTCGCGCATGGCATGTGACAGAAGTCGTCCTTCATTGACCAGCTCCATAAAAGCCATTCCTCCATTCCTGTTTAACATTTCAAAACACAGAATTTTCAGTAAGTTTTCGTTCAGACATCTAACCACAAAGAAAGCTTTCTATCTGCCAGCAATGCGAGCTGCGAGTGAAAAGGGCTACAGATATCTCCTGTCGCAAATCATTTCGCTTGGTTCACTCTGGAGGCCTTTTGGGCGAGGATGGGGGCCTGCATACAGCCTAGCAGATAACCTACGATCAGTTTTTTTTTTTTTATTTTATTTTTTTTTAATTATATTATTTAGGAAGGACCGGCTGATTTCAGGTTACCTATTGGACACCTAACGATGCAGTTGTAAGTAGATGAGTACTCTAAGTGTACCACTGAAGGATGCTCTTGGAACACCGAAATACACGATCACAAAACGTAAAATGTTAAATATGATAACTAACTCTTGCTAGGGACCAGGCTCCTTGGTGGAGAAAGAAACTGAGGCGAGTAAAGCGGCGAGCGCGAAGAGAGAGGTGAACCGAGCGGCGGATCCTCTCCCCAGTCTCTTGCTCAGAGATTGCCTTTTTTCCCCGCCAAGGAGCCTGGTCCCAGGCTAATCTAACTCCGGGACGAGGAATTTTCCCACAGCGAGTGTCCGGTACTGTGCCTGTAATACAGTAGAAAGAAGCTACTACTAGCTAATTACTACACGTCTTCTCGTGAGCATAGTTCCTTTTAAGTGAAAATAAATTGACAAAATCGAGGCAAAAAAAGACGTGTTTACCTCTGCAGAGAATTCTGCCACTCCTGAGAACACAACAACATAACTAGCTCGACAATAGAGTCCGTCTTCTGGCAAGAAAGTCCCTCTAAAACCAGCTCCTGTCCGTGACTGCCAATAAGGATCCTGCTAAGAAAGGGGCTGAAGTCCAACAACACTTCCTTGAGGAGGGACCCAGAAGACTTGAATCCAATCTCCAACTTCTCCGACAAACTCAACCGGCTAAAGTCTACTGAGCCCTTCAGCAAACTGGGCATGCTCGGTTCCTCGTCCCAAGAGAATACATCCTCCTCCACATCTGCAGAAGCGCTCCGCTGTCCACCCCAGCTGGCGGCTCGTGATCGGCTATCGACATCTTGAACTTCACTTTCTGACGCAGGAGGACCTGAAATGAAATGCCATTGTGTGGTTATTATAGAACTTAAGCAAAAACGACCGGCAACGGGAGCGAAAACGTCACTTAATTAGCACTGTTTCAATCTTTAATACTCTTATTTAATTTCATACAATTTGTTTACTGTAGGAGAATTTTGCCGGTGTTGATTTTAAAGGACAGAAAAAAAGAAGAAACATTGTTGTGTTGTGTTCACGTCTTCCATGAAACTCGGGAAAACTCAAGTCGTAGTCGGCAACAACGGCAACGAAATGTCCAATAAGCGTGCTGCACGTGCAAAGTTGTTATTTTTCTATTCTAAACCTATTGATTTTTGCCGTTCTCGTCGCCGTCGCCGTCGTCGTTGCTTAAGCTCCCTAATAGGGACCTTAAGATCCAAGGACGTCGACGGCAGCGAAAACATCCCCGAAAAAGTCAATTCGTGTTCTTTTAATCTTCATCGTGATTACTCCAAGTCACTAACTTTGTCAAACGTAGGTGAACCCTCCTAAAGTTGAATTTCTAAGAACCATATCCAAGTTCAGATAGAGTGAGGAAATTTCGTCGTCGCTTGTGTACGTCCTCTATACAACGTAAAATTTGGCATTTTCACGTAGTAGTCGTACAGTGACGGCAAAGTAATGTACAAAAAAGAGCGATGCACGTGCAAAATTGTTTTTTTGCTAATTAAACCTATTGCCTTTTTGACGTTCTCGTCGCCGTCGCCGTCGCCGTCGCCGTCGTCGTATCTTAAGGTCCCTAATGTCACTCAAAAGCTACCTTGAAAGCATTAAAACACAAAACAAACTACCAAGAGTTACAAGGCAAGATTTATATTGTCAAGGCGGTTGGATAACCTGCTAAAGAAACACAGTGCTTAAATCAACATATAGTAGTACTGTTCACAGTCCTCCATTTTTCCATAAGATCGTCGAGATCGAGCGCTTTGCGTTACGGTGACCATTTTGGTTTCAAATGGTCCGAGTTTAGCCTGGGAAGAGTGTCAAATCGCCTTAGGGGACAGGGCAAGGTTTGGGAGGAAGCGCCTGTATCCACACACCGCTATAAACCCCGTTGCCCTCCCCCTCAGTACCTACGAAACCAAGATGGTCGCCCGTAAGCGCTCGATCCCGACCATCTTACGAAAAAATAGGGGACTGTGAACGGTCTAAAAATATAGCTTCTTTAACACAGCGATGTTGGATTCTGCGGAAAAAGGGGGAACACGTTTGTTTACATTTTTACACTTACGGTATGCAAGAGGCAAGAGAAGTCGACAAAGTTATTTTCCGGATAAATAGAGCCTGGCGATTTACAGATGTCTACCAAACATTTAAAGTCCTGACAGACAATATTTTTACCTTACACATTAAAGTATAGTTGCGGTTTGAAATACAGCTTTGTGATAGTGAGTGATTAAAAGTGTTTTAGAGTAAGTGGTAAGACAGAACCGCAACACCCAAATCTTTGGATCGAATTGGTTACATTAGAGGAGAGGAAAAACAGGAGTAGGAAATAAAAAATCATCTCGGAACACTTAAGAGAAAAAGCAACAAATCCAACCCAGATATGGAGTCCAGGCGGGACTCGAACCCCATGGCCACACTGCTCTCTCGGCGAGATGAATGGGGCGAGGAAAGCATTTTCTGCGCCGGGTGCAAGGGTTCGCCGGCAAAATTTTCAAACTCGTGAACATGCTCGCAGGCTACGCTACGCCACTCCTGCTCCCCTTCCACTCGAAAGAGTGTTTATCTGTCATCCTACAACCTTGAAGTCACTTCTAAAGTATCGATTCTACCTCGTTAAACAACTCACTTCTCGGTGTCTATGTACAAGGTGAAGCACCACTTTTCGTGGCGAAACACGTCGTATATCACAAACGCACCTGGACTTGTGTGAAATCTTGCTCTGGCATCAGAGTCTTCAGATTTAAGGAGATCTCTGTACTTAGCCACCATCATTACAGCAATGAAATACACGACTGTTAAGGCCAGAAACTGCGACTGTTTGCTATCCTCGAAGTCCCGATACACCACAGCGCGTAACCGATTCACATCCATCTCTTGAAGCAGTTTCTCTGGGTCTGTCACAGTAGTCATGTGACCAGGAATGTTCTGGACCATGTCCTGAAATAATCAAGCAGACATTTTCCTAAAAACTTCTTTTCTCTCGTGTCTTTCCTTTCTTAAACTGTTCACAGTCCCCTATTTTCCGTAAAACCGTCGAGATTGAAGACTTTAGATCTTAGATGAGTATCAAATGTACTAAACGGGGGGCGGTGGGAGACGGTCCCCCTCCCCCTAGAGCTATAATCCCCGACGCCCGCCCCCTCGGTATATTTGAAAATCAAGATGGCCGCCATTAACGGTAAGATGCACCATATTTCGACGATCTCACGGAAAATAAGGGACTGTGAACAGACTATTCCCTTCCTCGGCGCTTGTTCCCATCATCCCTCACTCGCGCTTCTCATTCGTCTCCAGTACCCCGCTTTAAAAGTCCGTGCTCCCCACTAAGCCTTTGGAACTGAGTCAAACCTGAGGAGGAGGAAGTAGTGACACCAAAGCCGCAAACGACATCGCAGGCAACCTTACATGGCCAAACTTATCTCCATGACAAAAAGAAGAAAAAGAAAAACACCAGCCTCTGTTACATACCTGTTCACTGGGCGGTTTTGTTGAAGCTATCAGGGTCTTGATGGCCTCTCTCGCTTCCCTGAGCGCCTTCTTTCCAAGTTTCCCGCTTGTGATTAGTGGTAGAATGGGTCTGTTACGTTGTCGACAGACTAAGCGGTTACGAGCCGCACAACAGAACACTGCACAGACAAACAAATATAAGAGTAACACAATATAGCTGTAATTTATCAAGGTTTAAGAGGGTAGACTCTGGAATAACAAAATAATCGGCCTCCCGACAAGCAAAATTAGAGGTAACTTATCTAAAGATAGTAGCAAGACAGGAGGATATAATGTTTAAAATTTACAGTGACTTTGCAATGAATGAATGGCTGCCTCCACCTATGTCTCTGTGTGTCTAACGGCCTGCCTAGTACACAGCGTGGGCACTGTCTATACTGCCTAAAAGTTTCAGTCAGCCTAATAGGCTATTTCCGAGTTACCCCAAAGCTCTGTGTCAAAGCGAAGCTAAGTGCGAAGTTTTGATATGAAAAATATTTTCTATTCTCATGCAAATAAAATTCATTTTCCCAAGAAAGGTTTTGAACTTAGCCTCGGTTTGATAGTGAGAGTTTATGTAACTAGGAAACGGCCGGAAATGGCCTAAGATCAATGCCCACCTACCCCATCCTTAAGACAACATTAACACTTACCGCTCACTTAGGGCAAAATGTTGGCTTAGGGGAGGGGTAGGGGGCAGTTTCCGAGAAACCTAAATTGATCCATGGCCTATTCACGATTTACATTCACTCACCTAATCTCAAACATTGTCTCAAAAATCCACCCGTGCTCAAGTTCCGGTTAGTCTCCACTCCGCTAAAAGCGAGGGAACTGGTGAACACTATCACATCCACAAGAGACATAACCCGATTGAGGAAAGAGAAACTCGTTTCCAGTGACATGCCACCGCACGGCTCGATGACGTCTTGGCCATAATCACGTGATGTGACGGAGGAGAGCAGAGGGAGAAGATCCCCGCAGCAAAAAATAACGTTATCTGCCAGCACCGAAACAAAATGAGCCAGGTTCCACAGATATGTCCCATTTTCTTTGGCGTTGACAAAATCCATTACAGTTTTACGATTGTGGCTGAAAACAAGGTCACAAAGTTATTTCTTGGACATACAAAACGAGCAGAGTACATACACAAGAAGAATAGGAAAAATATGGAGAACACAAATACTAGTAGCCAAGTAGCTTCCTCGTTTACCATAGATGAGTGACAAAACGATTGTCTACTTTCATTATTGCCATGTACTCATCAAGAACTTAAAAACCGTTTCATTTTAAACCTGTATTTGTGTTTTTGCAATAAAAACAATTCGCCACTTGCACATCTCCAAAAATGCACCTTGTTTGCCCCCCCCCCCCCCCCCCCCCCCCCCTAAAAAAAATGCATAACCTTTGTATTTTATTTCCCATGGGTTTTTCAGCCATTCCAAGAGAAACTGAAGACACTAATTACAAAATGCAAAATGTTTTTTTTTTTTGGGGGGGGGGCGGGGGCAAATAAGGTGTATCATGGGAGGTGTGCAAATGGCGAATGGCTCCTTTTCTCTCATTCTTCTACAGCGGCAGTCAGTTATTCAAAAGGGGCTTCAACATCAAAAGGAATCTTGAAAACCTGGAATATTTTTAAAGACAAAAAACAAGAAATGCAAAATGCTGACAAAACGCGACTGACACACGAACTTTTGGTCTCATGACGTAGTTACTGCTACTTAGTTTTCCCTATACCATAATTTATTCTACATAAATTAAGATAATCCCCGAGCATTTAGTTGTAATTTCATTCCTACTCATGTTAAGATTCCTCATCAAATGTAACTTAAGATTCCTTTTCTAAAATTCGGATAGTTAGGTACCGCTTTCGCTACAAAAACTTACCTTCTCCAAACTTGGACATCAGCCTCGATAGCAAACAACAAATCCCCTAACAGTCTCTGGTGAATAGGCGACCATAAGTATTCAGGAATATTTACATGTGCTCTATAAGTTGGTTTCTGCTCAGGTGAGCCTGCGTTACTTGTGGCTGCGGACGTGGCAGAAGGAGTAGAGGTTGGACTGGACTCAGTCCCAGTCTCCGAACGTGTGTTAGGTGAACTCGCTTGGCTTGTATTATCGTTATTTAACGACTCGACAGTCGGTTTCTGAATACTATTTTCCGTTGATTGAGAGACGATTTGCTCCTCGCTTGGAGCGACATCTGACGTAACAAGTTTCTTTTGAGAGTCACTATCCTCTTTAACATCCTTTTCTGATTGCGCATCCTCGCGCACTTCGCTTGCAGCCCCAATATAAGAACTCTTTACTGCAATAGTAAGACTATTATCAACATCTTTTGCTCTATCTTTCTCGTAAAATAAATTTTGACCTTCGCTTGAATTTGTGTTTTTCTGAGTCGCTGTTTCAGGAGGCGAAGTACTAACTTCTGTCTGATTCCCAGAGTCTTGAAGACTTTCCTTATCATCATTGTCTTCATGTTTTCTTACGCTTACTTGTGGTTCGTTGGCGCTTTCATCAGCCTTGGGTAAAGTCTCGGTATCTCCAACGATCGGTTTCTCAGCTCCGTCAGATTTTGCATCAGATTGTCTGTCATCACTTAACTTATCTTCAACTGAAGTGAAACTCGATACATCTTCAGCTGCATCTGCAGCGGTTTTTTCGTTGTGAATACTTTGATTAGCAAAGTATTTAGAACGAACGATGTAATTTGAATTTTTCTCTTCAGATTCTCTAACATCCGTAGTATCCCTAACTCCTTCATTAGGTTCTTCGTGGCCCGTTGGCTCCTCAGCTTCCTCACCTCCTCTTACATCAGAGCCTAACCCTGTAGAACTGAGAGAGTCCTCCGCGCTAGGGGACCTATCCTCTTCATTGCATTCACTATTATTTACGTCCTGTGCATCCATCGTGTGTGCTTCGTCCTTTGTATCCTCTCCAGTAGACTTTTCTTGCTCCTGTTCAGTGGAGTTAGGGCCATTTTCACTCTCCTCAGGAAGAGTCCTTTCAGCAGTTTCTGTTTGGCCCTGTTCAGGGGACCCAGGGTCACTTTCGTTCTGTTCAGGAAGGGTCTTAGCAGTAGTCTCTCCTTGCGCTTTTGCAAGGGAGTTAGGACCACTTTCGATCTCCTCAGGGATGGTCTTAGGAAGAGCGTCAACTTTAGGTCCATTTTTGCTTTGCAGTAACGATTGAAAAAATTTTCTCCTGTCATTGTCACTGTCTGTGGAGTTAGACGCGGGAGATTTCACGTCTGTAGCAGACTTAACAGCTTCATCCACGCGCTTACCTTGGCTGTTTACATTAGCAGGGGACGTTGGCGCTGCGCGTTTGGGACTGGTCTTTCCTTTTCCTCTTTCAAATGATGTCACCTGTAAACAAATAACCAAAACCGGCAATAGAACAATCCACGATTGTTTTTTTTCCAAGTTTTGATAAAGACCACCTCAGCTCACCTGCCTTATTATAGGAAATTAACGCTTCATGAACGTTAATTTTAGTCGCGTTAATTTCTGTAACGTTAATTTCCTATAAAAAGGTATCCTGTTCGTGCCTGGTGGCACTGAAGGCCTTTTTGATGAAGACTACTTGGATCAATTAAGGTTTCTGGGAAACTGTCCACTTACCACTCCCTTGAGACATCATTTTGTCCAAAGTGAGAATTAAGTGTTAATGTTAGCTTAAGGGAGGGGTAGGTGGGCAGTTTCCCAGAAACCTAAATTGATCCAATATCAGTACAGTACCTTGCCATGCAGAATAGCTAGTGTGTCCACCCAGATTCTCCAGCCTTCACGCTCTTCTTGAAAGGCGTGATGAAGCAGCATCCGAAACAAACAGAACACAGTGTCGGTGGTTCGGGTCTCCTCTGAAATACAGCCACAAGAAAGGTCAATAAGTGGCTTTTCCTTTCAAAATGCGGGAATTAAATCCTTTTAAAAAAGACACAACATCACAAGAAAGGACAGTTATGGCCTACACTGGACGAAGCTCACGTAGCAACGTCTGGAAAGGCGACCCAAGATGGAAAACGAATTAGGTGGATCATAACCGATGGTTACAAGGCTGGAAAAGGTTTAACACGACACTTTCAGATGGCAAGTCTAAACAAAAGTGCGATAAAAACAATGGGCCTCTTAATTAAAATGGAGTTTAGCTAGTGTTCAACAAAACCGCGTTCTAATCCATTTTCAGTTTCCTCAACGCTATTTTATCCAAACACTTTTTAACGAGGAACAATTTCACCAGAGCACATAGCATAAAAAAACTATCTATCTTCTTGAAATAACCCACTTGTCTGAAGGTCCTCTGAGCAATTTCTTAAACCTCGCGCGCGGTTAAGTAAGTCTTCTCAACTTAATATCTTTACCTGGGTTCGAAGGTTCCAAGTGAGCCAAAGTGAAAAGCCATTCTTGCCAACACGACAATTGGAGAATAAGACTGTGCGAAGAAGAAAAAGTGGCGTCAGTGATGCTTCCAGTTACACTTCTACTTCACCCTACGTCTTTGCTTTTAACAGCCCTCTACGACCCGCCCCTCTTCCCAAACCCGCACCCCCAATGGCCACGAAGAAGGAGAAGGAGAACAAAGTTCAAGTAATAATAATAATAATAATAATAATAATAATAATGATAATGATAAAAATAAAAGGGCTTTATTTCATAGAATAAAAACACATATTCTATGTTACAAAAAAGATTCATAAAAGAGCCAGATCTTACAAAGATATAATGTACATATAATGACATAATAAAAGAATTAAAACATATAAATAGCCAAGAAATTGTAGATTTTTAAAGAATACTATAATAAAAAGACAACATTGTAACAATGGTAAGTTGACATAAAAAAACGTAAAAATGTTAAAAAAAAATCTAAAAAATCTAAATAGCTAACTTATAATCAAATATTAAACGATTATGAAAGTGGTCATAAACCTCTTTGTGTTAATTTGCGGCCTAAGAACAGAACTACGACACAGCTGATACTCAGTCTCCTTTGCTTTGGGAAGCATAAGATAGAGAGGATGGCCTTCCTACTTAGACAACTTGCTGTAAAGTTACTGCCCTGTTTTTCTCACAGCTCGCGGCTGTTTATATTGTGAGAAATAAAATTACGCTTGAAACATCAATTTAGAAAGCATTGCACAGTTGAAAGTTCAGCCTCGGAGGCTCCATATACCGACAGACCATAAACTAAGTTTGGCAACACCATAGCTTTAAAATAGGTGGTATATTTCTAACTGACTGTACCCTCCTTTGCGTAAAGATCTTAAAACATAAAGTCCTTTCTTAGCCTTAGTAAGCTTCCCTTTAACATGGTCAACAAACCGTGAGTCTTCCTGAAAGTACACTCCGAGGATTAGCAATTTTTTTACACTGTTGTACTCTGATGATTTGCAATTTATTGTGGTATATCTGCAGTAGACGGATAGACAGCATCTGCGTTCTAACCCTTCTCAAGAAAGGTGAGTTCTTTACACTTAATTAGGTGGAAGGTCATACAATTGATCCAAGACCAGTCCATAAACCTGGCCACAAAATCTAAGGACCAGTCTTTATCTCACAGAACTCAGGCAACTATAGTTGAATCATTGCCATACTTATGTAAAAAATTGCAATCATCCTGTGTGATCTCTACATCATTTAGAAAGATATTTAAAAGATAACGCCCGCTAACACTACCCTTACACGTGCCCTTATTGACAGTTCTCCATGAGCACTAAAAGTGTTGTGTGTCCACTACTTTACCTTCTATTTATTTTGCTGTGGTTAAGAAGTAATACAAGATCAGACAAGAATTTTCTTCTGAGGTCGACCTTCTCCTCGTCCGGTGTGCGCTGTTCTCTGAAGCTTCCCTGCCGAGTTAGTTTCACTACAGCGTTGCAATGTTTTCCTTCGTTTTTACGAAGCATTTTGGCTATGACTGGAGCCATAGCTGGAGAGAGAAAAAGAAACAAAAAAGATAGCTTTTAGCATAAAAACAGTTATTCGACTTTATTTGCTATATAACAACCCAACGCACAAGCGAATTTAAATTTCTTCCTTCGTCCAACTACCATAAGTTGTAAAAAATATAGGAAAAAGTGGAAACCTGTTTTCAAAACAAAAACAGCAACATTTGAATTACCATCCGCCCCTGCTTCGGTTGGTAACGTTTAACAATGAGAGCTAAACCACCCCAAACTCGAACAGAACACAGGTTCTTTCCCAGACCTGAGACTTTTGTCATGCTTATCCCACACCCCGGTTCACACACAACGTTTTCCACTTATTACAAACGGCCCTGAAGATATTGTAATCGTAATATCATGGGTGACAAATTAGTCCTTAATTTTGACGAAAAATTTCAGCGTTAATTGATAATTTACACATGTAAAATTACAAAATTGCAATGGCAACGTTCTGTACGTTTCAGTGCCAAGATGGTGTCAAGGTTTTAAAATGTTATGAATAAAGATGTCAGGGCGTTAAACAACGATTTATAAAACCTAAACACACGAAAAAGAACATCTAGAAGGATTCGATCAGGTATTTTGTCAAAAAATTCTGAAACTCATGAACTTAATCCAAAATTTAAGTTCTAAACTTTTCAGTGCGTGGAGTTCTCGATCGATGCGATAAACATGTAAAAAACCCACGATTGCGCGTGTAATTTGTCACCTATGATATTACATGTTACAGGTAATCAAATGGTTCACACGTGAAAATCGGGAATAATTTCACTTGCGTTTTGGTCTAGGCTCCGGAACTGTTAGGATTTGGACAAAGCACAAGTGAAATTATTCCCTCATTTCACCGACATACTCTCACTAGCAGACTGTCTGAACAAAACTTGATGGTCCGCAGTTTTGTTCTTGCCATAAGGACGACTTTCTGTGTCACCAAATAATACTTGACTTTGTTACTTAAATGTCATTATCATTTACAGAAGTGTGTATTTGGCAATGAAAACAGAACTGACTGCAAAATGAACATATGAGTAATTACCTATCGCTATGTAACTTCTGTGACTTACTTGTATTTTGCAAAATGAAGGTATTATCTGGCTGTGGGTGGTGTCCGCTGACTATTTGTTTGGACACTCGTCCGACCAAGATCTAAACATATGGTAAACAAAACAAATTATCAGACCGCTAAAAAGTTAGATTGATATCTAACACATTATACGCAGCAACACGTACCTCAAACAGCACATTGTAGGTGGTAAGTGTTAGAGAGTGGTTCATCAGCTTATCGCCGATCAAAGAAAACAAACTGTAGTGTTCTAACAAATCCTGCCTTCTCCTATAGGAAAAAAAAGTATGTATATAAATATCAGAACTGGAAAACTTTCCAGTTTATTTTGCAAATCTTTAAAAAAGCTACACGATATGATGCTAGTGGTAAAAGCACACAAAAGGTTTTTGGGTTCTTCATGCTGTAAAAAGGTTTGACCTCCATACATTTCCTTACAGAATTAGTTGGGAGCACTTGATAAAAGATCAAAGCATTTTCGTTTTATTTATTCCCTTAACCTTTTCTCTTGATTATGTATTGAAAATGTGAGGATAAAATTTATGTTCGTCACTCTTGGGACTTAAATGGTTAAAAAGAAAAACAAGCTCTCCAGTAGAGAGATTGCTTGCAGACTACAAACTAGCCAGCGAGCAAGCTCTCCATTTGGGGTAGTCGCAAGAAGTCACGAAACGAAACGCGAGGGAGAAGCGAGGGCGAGAGGCTTGATCGCTCGCTCGCGTGTTCTTTTGCGGCTTGCTTCAAGAAATGGAGGGCTTGCTAGCATGCTAGCTACTAGTCTCCCTCGCAGCCGTTTTTGTCTCGTCACGCAACGCTCCTCCCCAACGAACGGCCGTTTGTTGGGGAGGAGCGTTGCGTGACGACACAAAAACGGCTGCGGGGGAGACCAGCTAGCTAAAAACAAGCCAAAGAACTAATCACAACTCGAAGAAAATAATGCGTGTAAAGGGAGCCACATGCACGTAAAGGGCCGAGCAAATTGCAGTTGGTTTTCCCACTGAAATGGAAACTCAGTATACAAAAGTAACCTTATTCGGTAACAATATTTCCAAGAACTGCCGAAATACATATTAAAATGAAATTTGAATTTAATGATCAAGGCATTTTCCCTTTGTTCATTTAGTTTTGAATTTCCGCAGTTCACATCATATTCGTGTTTCAATCCTTTCACGGGTCAAGATGAACTCAACAAATTGGCCTGCTCCCAATGTATGAATCTTCATAGCTCAGTTGGGTAGAGCACCGATGCGCTAACGCAGAGGCCATAGGTTCGAATAACGTTGAAGTCACAATTTTTTTTTTTTTTTTTTTTTTTTTTTTTTTGGGGGGGGTATTTGCTCTTGAAGGAATTGCAATTGCCACTGCGACGATCATGTTTTTATTTAAATCGATATTTCCAAGGTTAAATTGAGAAGCGTAAGGTAGTGTATTAATTCACTTACTTGGCTGGACAGTACTGAAGAAAACAGCCAACAATCTTCAAAGCATAAACTCTAACCGCTTCGGATTTCATGTCAAGGAAACGAAATAGAACTCTGTTGAACACAGATAAAACAAATAGCTCAGAAAACTAAAACGAGTGAAAACTAAGGGGTAAAATAGTACACATTAAGGTGAAACGAAGTTTATCTAAAAACAAGTATATGCGGAGAAGTGACTACTAACTCGGACAGGTATATGCCCGACGCACTGACCACTCGGCTACGCTGCCTAATGAGAGAAGAGAACCTGCTTAGCTTACCTCAGTCCATCAACTTTATCAAAGACAGCGATACAAATATCTGGCTGCTCGGTCATTATTGATAGCACCAGTTGAAGAACATCTAGAAGATTCTCCTCCTGAAGAAAAACCAATTTTGCTTATGACATTACAGTTACCGGCACCGTACAGAATCAAGCAAAACTAACTACGAGAGAACGACTGGACAACTGACAATTTGACCAACAATAAACGACTGTGGTTTAAATGTTACAATAGAAGGATCGAAACACACCAAAGACATTACGAGTCTTCATAGCCAATCACATCACGGCTTAACTGACACAGACCAATACCATCGCGACTTAATTGACCAATCAGGTCAATAACCAGAGTTTTAAAATACCATCTACTTGCGTGATACAACCTACTCATGAAGTGACTCTTGGGTTCAAATGTTTCACATTGCTACTAAGATCACTAAAATGTAGAGTAAACATAAGGGCACACACAATTAGGGCCATTTATACAGGGAAACAGAAGACGCGTCATACTTAAGAAGCGCTCAAATAACACATGGACTGTACCTTATTTTATACGAGCATGTAATGGCGGCCCTTCGTTGCGTCGTATCTAAGGTCCCGTTTATGAAGAGATAAGTCGTCTTGGGGAAGAGTCTCCCGGCCGAGTCAACTTTAACGAGAGTTAATATGGGAAAAATTTTGACCCCTTAGCCCGAGCCAACAGCTCTCGCGCATGCTCTAAATGTCTTCCCTTGACCGAGCTGACCCGGCTGAGTGAGCGAAAGTGTTCATATTGAAGAAACGTTGTTCGTGGCTGGGAGGGTGACCCTACCATCGAAAAAGGCGGATCCGCCTTCTTCTAGCCGAGCCAACTTTTTGTTTCTCATGTAAACGCTTCGCAAGGTTTAAAAAGGAAATGTAGGAAAAGTTGGCTCGCTCAGAGTGGATCGGTTAGGCGAATGACCCTTCTACCCGGAACAACATTTATACGAGAAGTTCCTTGCATCTTGATTTCCTTGAATAGAGGCCTTTATGTCGCATACGTGGAACCACAGAGGTGGAGCCTATCGTGATTTCTGAATAATAAAGCATCTAGAAATACTAAGAGGATGCTAGTATGTCACCAGTGTCCACATGTACCCATGGGAATGGAGGGAGCGACTCGGTGAAATGACCAGCCTACTAAATTGAAGCACGAAACTTGGACATCAAAACACCAAACAACCACAAAAGATAAGGAAGAAAATGACCAGTCTAAAAATAAGCTAAAATACTGATACCTCATTTGTTATCATAAGGTAGGACAGAACGCTTTGAAATTCTTCTTCTGTGATGCCTTTGTCCTGAGAACAAGAAAAAATAGCATGATTTCAACGAGTCAGCATGTGATCCTATTCTCAAGGAAAAAGATCGTTTAGAAATTTTAGGAACTCTGCCGTTCTATTTTCTTTTAAAAAAGCTAAAGTTGCATAATTTATGATTTCACTCTTCCCTTAGCCAGCGCAGAAGGCGTTTTTTTTGGTGAGATTTTCGTTTGTGGTCTGTTAAGTTAGAGACAAAGCTGCACGAGAAAACGGTGAGGGAGGGGGCGGAGGAAAGGCAGAGAAGTTCTCTTTACGAATAAAAAACGTAAAACACTCTAAAACCCCGTCTGCTACCCAGGCTAATCTATGCGAAGATCTAGCCACGAAAGGGTTAAATGAGAAGACATCGCAACTCAAAGAACACGTTTTAGGAAAAAAGAAATCTTTTCAGGAATGTAAGGGAAATATGACAGCAATGACAGCAATAGACCTTATCCACGATACCCGAATCTTTGAATGCGCTTAAAGACTGATGGAATAAAAGCAATGCGATGGGAAAACAAGTAAAAAAAAATTGCCAGTGCAAGAAATCGTGTTCCAGTTGCATTCTTGCTTTGTTTTTAGACCGTAGTTTGGCTATTTCTTCTTCGCGAAACGAGTGAAACGTTGCGCCATTTTGTCTTGCTCTACCAAAACAACGCAACCTCGTCCCCAGGACTTGTCGGTTGCCGTCCCTTTTTCTGGCTATTACCCTGTACTACTGACGTCATATTTGCCGATATTGCAAAAGTCTTCCCAATTTGGTCAACGCTGGCAGGTTACGTAGAATTAGCCGTGGGGTTTGAGCCAGTCACAAGCGGAGAAATATTTTGAATGAATAATGACTGGTGTTAGTTACGAACTTACCTTTAGTACTAGCTGTTTCACCAAGAGCAGCAAAAATGCTCTCAGAGAAAGGATTTCTTCATTTGTTGGAGTTGTGTTTTCTGTACAGTAAACAATAATAATAAAGTAAGGCAGGGCAGATGAAACGATGATCCAGACGCAGATCAATTGGAAGATAGTGGTACAAATGACGCAAAAATCATGGAATAACATCCCGTTTATAAATATTTTAAATGTTACTAATTTTTATTAAAAGCCTTAAGATGGTGTCTTCACTTAAACTCAGAACGTCTGTCGTTATGACAAATTGTTGTAACGTTGGACGAAAAAGGTAGAAATTTGTATACATTTTCATCAAGTGGAAAAAAATTCACAAATTAATTGGACATGCATACCGCCCATGTTCTTTTGAAGTTTTCTTGCGCGGCTATTTTGAATTAAGTCGTATCACGTGGTGTGCCTTCGAATCTCCCTTGGTCAACGATTGTTTCCATTATTGTCGGAAACAAAACAGGGGTAAGAACTACTAGTCTCCTTCCCAGCCGTTGCGTGACGAGCCTAAAAACGGCTGCGAAGGAGACTAAAGAACTACCACATGTCCTCAAAATGTAATCTTAATGTGGGTTTACCTTTTTCAAATTCATTGTCACTGGAAAGCCGATAAAACGTCTTTAACATGTACATGAGTCTGCTGACCCCAACATCGCGGCGCAGATGAGCTGCACATCCTGTGCCAGTTGCCAGGTCTGTGGCAAACACACTAAACAACTGAAGCTGTACCTGTATGGAAAGAAAGATCAGAACTTAAGTGGCTTCCATCGGGATGGTGATGGATTAAACAATAATAAGACAAAGTTCTCGCCATAATTAATAGGGAAAAAATACCGACGCTGCAGAGGGAATTCGGGGCACATACATACCTACTTTATTTGTTGGGTAAGCGATTCTTTCTTGGTTTAACTATCAGGCCCTAGTTGTTCGAAAGGTTGATAGCGTTATCTACTGCATAAATTTCTATCCAGTCGATAACACCATTGGTTCCCCGAATACTTATCTTTTTTTTTTGAACTTCAAGATTAGTTCAGTATTTTAAAGGATTCCGACATTTTATAAAACTTACTTGTTCTCTGGATAGTGATTTATCTGGTGGATAGCGCTATCCATCTTTTGATCAGCCAGTACGTTTTTAAGTTTGAGTAAAGAGTTTTAAAATACTCATGTTCACCCCCCGTGAAACCGCGTACGGATAATTGTGCGGGGCAGGTGCAAAGTGAACGCTAAAAGGGCAAAGTTCTCTTACGTAAATAATGACGCGGATTAAGAGAAAATGGAATTGATTCAAAGAAATATGCTTAGAGATACCTTGGGAGACGCTTTCACCCATAAGTTTGGATTGAACAGAATATGATCAAAGAGACTTCCTAATAAAGCTCCAGATCCAGTTGAACTTAAAAGATATCTGCAAATAAAAAGAAAGTATCAATTTTAAGGCAAAAAAAGGTATATTAACTCATTTGACAAACGTCAACGTTCTCCTAACAATATCTATATATCAAAAAAGAAAAAGTTAAGATGATGAACAAAATGATTATCAAAGGGAAAATGACTTGATCCTTAATAAAATTCTTTATTTATATATTTAATCACTTCCACCATGTGATGCGGAACATACAAAAGAGCGAGGCTCCAATTTAAGTGTGTTCTTAAAGATAACCCACCCAGCCCAGGAGAGGTTGACCACACCCCCGGGGTCAACGTCCCCTACTCTTTTTGAACAGTGGTGTGGGTTCTTTTACGTCCCACAAGAACCAGATAAGTGAAAGTGGTGTGCGACGGGACCTACGGTTTTTCGTCCTTATCCAAGAAGACTTGAAAGTCTAACCGTTTGCAGATTGCAAAGGTAGCCCTTTCTTCTCAGTTATTTAAAGACCCTGAGTGGTGGTCCGGCTCGGGTTTGAACCCGCGACTTCCCGCTCAGCAGACCGGCACTCTCCCAACTGAGCTAACTAGGCGGGGGTAAATTTATGAAGTTAAGTCCGGAGAATTTGTATTTGGATATTGGGGCTGAAAGGGTTAACAACAAAGTAACAGAAGGATGTCACAAGAGTAAAGTTGATGATGAAAAGGAATCACATGCCTTGCAAGAGAGAGCAGAATATTTAAAGCGTCTTCCGTGAGATGCGTGGAGACAGCCTACAACATCAAACAAAATGTAAATCAGTACAACTTATAACCACTTGTTTTCCCACTGAAATACTAGGAAATCATCGATTCGTTTCCGAAATACTTAATATCGAGCCGGTTTTTATTTGAACCAAAAAATTCGAGAAAATAAATGTCAAATTTCATAAGAATTGTGAAAACACAGGTAAAATTCTGAAAATTTCACGTGTAAGATGTCCTTTTGTGAAATTTCACATTTATTTTCTTGGACCCCCATAAGAAATTTTCTTTGGTGTTATTGCAGATAAACAATTACATCTTTAGCCCTTGAAAAAAGTAAAAAAGAATGCGATATTGGTTAAATTATTCTGGCACAAGGTTTTTGTCCACTGAAAATTAAAATTACTCAATTTCCTGATGGATTCTGTCATAAGTTCTCGTAAACCGATACCCGAAATGAAATCTCATTCGCCACTGAAACAGAGTTGGTTGTTGTTGTCGTTGTTTTTTTTTACAATAGACGTCCGGGTTACACCTCATTACACCACTTGAATTTTATGCTTGCGCCTGCATTACAGCGTCGTCAGAGCAACAGTAAAAGCAAACAATAACAAACAGGTTTTTTTGCATTCCCAGAATTTATTTGTAGATTGACAAGCTCCCGTATGGTATCCTTCCCTCTCAAAACATGACCGCATGATTCTCGTAAGCAAGAAATGCCCTTTACATTCCACTGGATCATTTACTGTATGGTACCTTCTCTAAAACATGACTGATGACAAGAAATCCTTGGCATTGGATCATCTGCTGCTGACTGGTACATGAACTCCGCAAAAGATCGGATAGAAGTGAAAGAAGAACAGTACTGAAGAAAATAAACAATGTAAGTTTCATCTACATTTTTGGAGCAACTTGTCGAGAAATTCTAGGTATTGTTTTGAGGAACGGCGGTAACCTATGAAAAAACTCAATTACCCCTCAGAATCCTTAGCTACCCTCCCTGATTTTTTTCTCTCCCCCGTGGTAGGGTGGGTTATAGTAAACTCATAAGTCGCATGGCCTCGTGAATGTGCGTCCTGCGCGCAACACAAAGGGTGGGTTATTTACGAAGTCTATAACTCAAACGGAGGTTACGGAAATAACTGCACCTCGAAATCTGTATCTAAGGAGATTTTATTTAAACCCTGGAAGCGCTAAGTGTGATCAGCATCCAACTTCTCCCTGTAATTTCAGCGCTTTATTAAACAGACTGGTAATGAGAATTAATGGCATGATCACGCAAGATGAATTTTATTGATTTTTGAACATCTTCTCTCATCTACTTCCAAAGGAGGTTTACCGAGGCACCAACGAAAGTTTAAATTTTTTGATATTAGAATTTAAAGGGTCAAGAAGCTAAATCCTTTCCCCTCTACCGTACCTTAAACTCCGTCTTAACAACCAGCCCAAAGGGTCCCAGACAGAGGGAATTTTTTTACATTTTAAACTTGCTTACCATATTGCTACCTCAGGAATATCACTGGTATCTTTAGCTCCATCCTGAGGGAAATCCAGTTGAGTGAACAATGGAAGTAGCATCTATAACGTTGAACAAAACCACACGTTCTTATTACTACCGCAATTTTAAAGCAGACATAGCGATGTAATAATTGTCATACTACGAGGGTGGGAGAAAAAGTTAATCTTGAGCCCTCCAAGGGACTCGAACGTGTGACTTCTCGGAAACCGAATAGGCGTTCGAAGACGAAATTGCATGTCACTGCTTTATTTTGTACTGTAGTGTGTACTTTGAATCCCAGGATTTATTTCTTACTTAGGCTGAGTATGATCATTCGGGTAAACGTAGTCCTGAAACGCATGCGCTACTAGACCAGCCCGAACAACAGTGCTGTTTCTGCATCTGGGCAGAGCCACACGTTTCAAAGTCAGTGAGCCCGAATTTCGAACGAACGTTACCGTTGGCGTAGTCATTTCTTTCATGATTGTGCCAACGTTAACTTGAAATTTTCGACGTCTGTTTGCGGAATAATTCTGTAACGAAGCCCAAGACAAAATTATGCGTCATAATGTCTTGGTAGCTGTGTTTTTTATACACATTAAGTTTCATGTATAAAGCTGTTGTCCTAAAAGTAACGTCAGTTCTCCCTTGCCTACAAAAGTGCTTTGTCTTCTCCAGTAGCACGAGTTTACCCTTCTGACTCTCTGAATATCCTCAGGGGGCAGCCGACGACTGTTCGAAGGAGGAAATATTACCTAAAAATTTCTTAAGCTCGAGAAAGGGTAACACTGAATTTCTGAATAACCGTTCAATCCGTCTAAGAAATTCGGAGCTTTTACCCTAGCTTATCTAAGATTTTCGAAAGGTTGTGTTTTTCACATTTTAGTACCAAGGTACTGCGATTATTGATACAAAAGGTCTGCTGAAAATTATTTGGGTACAAAAACAAAAGGTCCTCTAGAATCTTCTAATGAACTCCATACGGCCACTTCATATCCTCAAACTTTCGACCACACCCATCACAGACTACGAGTAGTCCCCCATTTTTCCTCAGGGATAGTAGAGCGAGCGAAACGCGAGCGCGCGTGAAAATCACCCCACGCGAGAAAAGGCGACACGCGGCGGGGAGTCTTTTCTCGCGTGGGGTGATTTTCACGCGCGCTTGCGTTTCGCTCGCTCTACTATCCCTGAGGAAAGATGGGGGAGTACTCGTAGTCTACACCCATCAGAGAGGGAACAGTTTGGAAGACCACTAAAGAGAGACGACAGACGACCAAAGTTTCCTTGAGACATCCGAAAAGAAAAATAGTTTTTAGGGCAGCTCCAAATTAACAAAACAGGCTTCTAATGCGTAGAAAAAAACCATTTGAGGCATCTCTGGCGTATTTGGAAACATTCGGCCGTTGGGTGCCCCTAACATCCTCACTTTGATGAAGGCTTCGACTGGTCCTACCTCAATCCAGTCGGACATCTTGTAATCTTCGTACCATTCGTGAAAACGTCCATTTTTAATTGAATGGACATCGTCCAGGTTTTCGTCACGACACATATCACTGCTTTCACAATACGTATCAGAGTACACGGTAAAATAAAGGGTGACGATAATAATCCACTGATTAAATTCGAAAAAGACGACTACTTCGCCTTTTCCTTTCCATCTCAGATTTGAGCATTTTTCTTTCCGTTCTCTATTCGTCTATGACGAAATTCTTTTTCGTCTGTTGCGTCGTATTTTACAGCATGTGCGCGCTGGGTTCTAATGCGCGTGCTAGTTGACACCGTTCAAACTGCTATTAAGTGTCCTTGACAAGCACACTATCTTCAATTTTTAGTGCTCTACTTTGTCAAAATAAAAATAAAAGAATACCAAAATAATCATTGCCACTTCTTCGTATACAAATCGATAAAGAAACTCAAAGTTGTGACCCTTTTTAGCTAAGTGCCATAAAAGGATTTTGCCAAAGCCGAATAGTTTCGAACAAGAAACCCACAACAAATCAACGTACCGTTAGAAAAAAAATTACTCCAATTAATACGCATTATACACATGGCATCCACTTATTTCTTACCTGGATTCCTCCTAACGAGTGCAGAATACACTGAAGCGAGTGAGTGACAACAGATTGAACCCCCTGAAAAAAAGAAAAACGAAAAACGGCGTTTTAATGTACGTTCTTCTGCTCACCAAGATCAGTTTATATACTATTTGCGGTAGCGGATCAGTGTCATTCTTCAAAATTGTAGTTTACATAAACTACTGTTAGTTTGCCTGTCTGTCTGTCTATCTGTCTGCCCGCCCACCTATCTGTTTGTCTATCTTCCTGTCTGCCGGTCTATCTGTCTGCCCGCCTGCCTGCTGTGTCTGTCCGTCTGACCAATCATCATGAACTTAACTCACTTTCAATAAATCATTCTTCGTTTTTGGAGGGTCCCCAATAGATTTTACGGGATCCTGGATTTCCCTCAATTGAAGCTCGGGATTCCGGATTTTAAAGCAAAATAGGGGCAAGATTCGGGATTAAAAGAATGCACGGAAGGTGGGATGCCCAAAATAACCCTCGTGACCACGGGATTGCCCGTAATTTTAAGTCGGGATTACGGGATTAAAAAACCCCTTTGGGGACTATCTTTTTTAATGCTGTAATTTGCGGTGTTCTGTCTTACCTCCAGCATTAGAGCATGTGGTGAATGACAAAAGAAAGAATGATTTTCAGTTGGTGAAGCTTCAAGACAAAGCTGTTGATCACAAGCCTTAGGACTGTACATGAACATAATAGAGGCTGACAAGTGACCCTCATACAGCACCTGAAAATACAAAATGACTACTTCAATAATTTTTTATGCTTTAAACAAAACAAAAAAAACCCCTTATCTTTCTCAAGCAAATTAGGTCATCAGTTACTAGAAACAGCTCCTTTTGTCATATAACTTACTATAAATTATAACACATGTTGTTGTTCGCGCGGTTTATTCGAGTGTCAATGCGTTTAGCACGAAAGTGCTAACTGGGGACACTATTTTTACCTCTCCTACCGGAGACGGGACCGCCATTTTACGTAATCATCCGAGCCACGCGAAGCTCTAGCCGCTTACAGTGCAAAGGGAGTACCTTCATTTCTCAGTTATTTCAAGACCCTGAGTACTGGTCCAGCCCCGGGAATCAAGCGCTCTACCGACTGAGCTAATGCTGCCGCGGTTCTTCTTTTTTTAAAATGAATTAAGGAGAAAATTATAGGAGTTTTTTGTCTCAATAAGCAGATCCATCTCGATGTACACCGTACAGGTAATTCTTTGTTCACTTTTGCTCCTTTTATCGTAGTCCCAGAGAGTTTATGATGACATTGAATTTCACACCACTGATTGCCTCAATGATCAAAGAGTATTAATTACAGTGTGATTTACTGCATCAGTAATAAAGATTTTGTTTGTTGGTTGTTGTTGTTGTTGTTGTTTGTTCTTTCTTTCTGCTATCCTGCTGGCCACAGTGATCAGCAACAACCTTAAACAAGTGTTAAGCTTCCACTGCTAACGATCCCTTATAAATAAGCTGCCAGCTACTTTTCACTTCCTGAAAGTAGCTGGAAGTGTCTTGGTTTTATCTGTGCACATAGTTAAAGCCTAACAAAAGAAACACGCTTCATTAAGTACATCAATTGTTACATTAAATTACATTATACCAAAACAATGACATTGATGATGACTAAGACTTTAATACCTTCCTGTCTTGCTCCCACAGAGGAGTATCAATTTCTGCAGGAAACTTAAATTGGCTCTAAGATAAAACAAAAAAAACATGTCACATTTCATAGCCTTTTGGATCCGTTAAGGGCCCAGTTGCTCGAATGCCGGTTAGTGCTAACCCGGGGTTAAATTTTAACCCTGGATTCTTTTTCTTTCTATCAAAAGCACTCTATCGGATAATTTTATCTATTCTTTTTAGAGTGTCCAATCATCAAATTAAAGGCAACGTGAATTAAACTGAATTTGCTTTATAAGCTCTCATATTTGAGTTCAAATTTCACACTAACCCTGGGTTATCTTAACCCAGCTTCGAACAACCCAGCCCTGGGCTTTTCACCCAAAAGAGCTAAGCATAATTTTAATTTTACAAGACTTTTAAAGTATGATGTAACACCGAGAATTGACACCTTAGCATTTTCCTCCAAGGAAGAGATAACCATAGTTTTTCCCCTTCTGTTAACATTGCCAAGTGGTAACTATTGCATCGTACTCAAAATTTAAAAGCTGTCCCTAAAATTTACCTCTTCAGCCATTATTTACCAATTTTGACAAAACTGGCCTCTTCCTGAGCACTGCCATTAATTTTATTGTCCATGTTTAAAAAGCCCCATTTACCTTGTATCCGGGCCCCAGTCGATAAATGGCACCCACTGTCTGTGCACTTAATGCCTCTGAGAACAGATAAACGGCAGCCATTTGTCCACAGAACACAGTGGATTCGTCAGCCTTTGGGGATGAGCCTATGTAGCACTTGTCAAATGGCTGTGGAAAATATTTGTTTCTCTTAAAACCAGTCATAGCTAAACTCTACAACTAATGAGTCAATGCATCAGGAGCAATGAAAATAGCACCAGGACTTCAAACTTTTACTGGTAATAAAGGGTATGTGGAGGCACTGTATCTTGTACAATGTAAGTGAAACCGCAATATATATACATTACAGCATGATTAACACTAAGTTAGATTTTAAAATCTGGTCATTTAGATACAAAAAAGACCTACAAGACCCTACAACAGCAAACTTGCAAGATGATGAGGAAATTGAATTTGAAATTTATGACAGTATATGAGGCTGGGCTCATGAAATAATCAGGGTACACATATAATGTAAAAATAACTCACTAATGTTAGGAGGTTCTGATATGTTTTTTTTTTTGCAAAGGTTTAAATGTACTGATGGCCACAATTATGTCTTCTTCATCTGTACCATTTCAATGGTTGTCCATTCATTACAAGTACAAGAGGAAAAGGACACTCCCATGCAGTCTCAAAATAATTCTTGCCATACAAAAGGACATGTACTTCTTATGGAGTCGGAGAAAATGCTTTATTGTTACAAAAGTGTAAAAAATCTGATGGAATCACCTAAGGTGAATACATGTGCTCTATCTGATATGCATCAGTGATCCAAGGAAATTTTGCTACTGAGAAATAAAAGAATAAATAATATTTACCTCATTAGCATGGACCAGAGTTGTCTCTCCTGTAGAAACTACTTTACCATTAACAAAGCAACGGATCTCACTGGAATGAAATCTGTTGTACACATGCACAACTGTCACCATGTACCACTGAAAAAGTAAAACACTTTATCATGTATTAAACCTTTCAAGTGTTTTGGTGAGTTTATTTGTCACCTTAAATAAAAAAATCTGTGGACAAAATACTATTGTGTTACAAATGAAAACTCTTTGACAAAGAATTTAAGAAGAAGAACTGCAATTTTATTGTGAAATTTTTCTTAGGTCACTATCAGGCATAAAAGGATAAAGGAGTAATTCACATAATTGGGCTTTATTTGTATTAACAGAGGTAAGTTTCTCTCAAAGGTTGGAATTACCTTATTATGGGAAATTAATGCTCCATGAAATTAAGGTATTGGAAATCAATGCAACTTAAATTAATGCAAATTTAGTGGAAAACGACTTTCAAATAATGGAAATTAATGCAAAAGAGGGGGTAAAAAATAAGGTAGTTAAACCAAAAAAGTGCAAGAGATTTGAATAAGAAGTAAAAAAAATTGGTAACAAACCAAACTGGATGTTCAACAAATTCACTGCTCATTATTCAGTTCCAATGTGGGTTGTAACGTAAAACTTTAGTGCTATGAAAAAGACCCAAGTGTTTATTACTCTGTCTATTGCGCATATCCAAATTTCAAACACTTACTTGTCAGAATTTCTGAATATTTTACTTTACGTCGAGGCTAACCCTGTATGAATGGCTTGTTAATGTTTGTATTCAGTGGTAATTTTTAATTCGAAACTGGACTATTATATGTAACCTTTTGAGGGTGAAACTCAAACTTGACCAGATGATGAAGGACTTTATTTTCACGTTTGCCAGTCTTTACAGCACTTTCCAAGACCAGCATGGGACCAGAGAACTGAGCAGAATAACCAAGCCCCTTCCCCGTCCGAAAGCTGCAACAACAAAAAATTGTACCAAACATTATTAAAAAAGAACTCTCTTAAGGTACCGAACAATGGGCAACAAAAAACGTGCAACTTGTTTTGCAACATTGCTGCAAAATGAGTTGAATAGCGATGTTGCACATTTTACCACCCTCGTTCAAACCTGTTAACAACCTGATTTGTTGCAAGACAGGTTTGATGTGAGTGGTAAAACACACACCATCGCTATTCAACTCACTTTGTAGCAATGTTGCAAAACAAGTTACACGTTTTTTGTTGCCCACTTTTCCATACCCTTAGTAACAGTTAATGCTAGTTCTTTTATGAAAATACAAAGTCAAGTTTTCCACTCATCAGAGAGTCCTGTATTGAGTCATTGAAGCAAGTTTAAATTTCTATTCTTTACTATTAGCCAGTGGTTGACTTAAGCCTACTATTTTTGTACTATAATAATATAAGAATGAAGAGAGAGGGTATAGATTACAGGTTGAGATCCCAACTGACGGATCAGTCTTGCCTAAATGCTGTTCTCAGACATGACCCTCAGTGGTACCATTTCATGGCTGTATGTGATTGAGGCATGCCTACTGCTACTAAACTTATGATCAACTTACCAATACAAGTGGGGTTTGCACTTTTCTGCATTTGCAAGATGTGACGTGTCAAGACAGAGCCATGTTGAAAAAGTAAAACCTGACTGTAGAGGCCATTTGGAAATGGGTGGTAATGTGATGGCCTGCAAAAAAATTGTTACCAAATGAAGCACAACATTAGCAGAGACAACATTGACAAAGAACCTGGGTGTTTACCATTGGTCAAACTGTCCAACCAGTCTGTTCCTAAATAGCACTGGCCGATTCAAAACTTTAAATAGCAGAAAGAGGTCCACTCATCCAGTCCCTGATATATGAGGCCTAGGGAGGCCTAGCCTTGAAAATACTGTTTGGGGCCCTCAAGGGCCTCAGCTTGACCTAAATATAAGGTGGCCTTCCCCCCTCCCCTACATCTACAACTGCCACCGAATAGTATGAATTGCAGCAAGGGTTTAAAGTGAAATCTCTTGCAAAAAATGCCTACTTCATGTTCAAAATAGTTAGTCTGGTCAGCCAGTTCTGACTTTTGGTAGGTAATTAATGCCCTTACTCCGCAGTATCCTTACACCTGTTCATAAGAAAAGCAGTAAGTGTGTGGGAAAATATAATCCTGCAATGGAACATTCTAAAATCCCTCTAGACCAACCTGTGACTTAAACAAAGGCCTACACTGTGAGGGTTCAGTACTATAGAGAGCTTGTTATGGAAACAACTCACCCCGCCCTCTTTTCCTGAAAAGCTGAAATAGACATCGGGCCCGTTCTTCTCCAACATCAGTTTTAACACTGTCAACAACTTTACTGTATGACAAGGCTGTAAACAAGGACAAAAATTACTTAGGAATTATTTATAACTTTGGATTCATTTATGAACTTTAATCACACTACCAGTTCCTAAGTAATGACAAAATTGTTATTAATCACAGATAAAAATCATGAAAAATATTTTAAAACACTCATGCAATACGATTAACGTTCTTTTAATGGACACCCACTGTGTACATGTACTTACATGTACATGTTGCAGTTTATTCTTTTTTAGTTAAATTTAGTCTCTATAACTAGGTAAAATAATTACAAGATATGAAAGCAAGTTTTTAAGAAACTATTTACAGAAGGGTGAAGGTTATGCCAAGTCTGTAACTGAAACACGTCAAAGTAATTTAAGAAATACTTAAAAGGAAAATCACTGAGCTGGCAACTTATTTGTCTTGTGTGTTATAGTGAAGATCAACTATAGGGATTAAAAATCAGCGGTTCATAAGTTCAACCTTCAGCAGGATAGCCTGTGAGTGCCAGCTAGGCTCTCAGTCAGAGCAGACAAATGAAAAAAGTGGGCAAGCAGCAAAAGAGCAAGTAAGCAAGAGAGAAAACAGCATAGAGAGAGAAAAGGAGAGCTTGTAGGTATCTTTTCAAAACCTCAGTCTGCCTACCACTCTGCCCACTTCCACAAAAAAAAAAATTCTTCTGTCAAAATGGCTAATGTCAAAATGTGCAGTGTGTTTGACTCTGCATGTGCAAAGCCAAGTGACTGACACAAGTGTAAGTGTTGATGAAACCTGTCAAAATTGACCCGGAATGAGGTATTGGAAACAATGATTACAGGCTCAACTTCACCGACTCACCCCCGCTCCCAAGTGGGTTTCACCCAACTTTTCTCAATCTACCTTACTACCCACTGTGAGGCCAGTCAGACATGAACTTTTCCTTTCAACTTACCCATTTTCCATTCACACCCTTCAAAGTGGCTAACAGTGTCTTGAGTTCTTTAACAGTGATGCTGTAACCAGACAAGATTCCTAAAAGTTCCACAAGTTTGTCTAGAAGAAAGGTGAAGAAAACCATCTTTATCCAGTATCACAGAGATGTCACTAAGATTTCAAGTTGCCAGGTAAATACAACAAGTAGGTGAGGAATGAAACAGCTAGGGATTTCTTTTGCTTCTATTTTTCTTTTATTCTTCTATGAAAGTATCAGCGGCCACGTTCATAATAGCCAGGGGAAATCCCCGGCCCTGGCTCTTAATGACAGCCCTGGTATCATGATAGACTACTACTACAACTAGAGCTATCCACTTGTGAGAGTGTACGTTAAGAGAGCTTCCAGTGTAGCAGCTGCCCCCTAGTGATAGCCCTGATTACATAATAAACTGTTTTAAGTGTCCAAACTAAACAAACAAATAAGCCTTTCTATTGTTAATATTCATAAAAAGTGACTACGGTACATGCACCTGTATGTCCACTGACAAAATCATTATATTGTTTCCTTAAAATAAATTGTTACATATTAACTTTATTGAGAATTGCAAGATTCTGCAGGTTTTCCAGAACTTGCACCCTTGCACCCTTACTCGAATCCCTTCCAACATACAAAGATTAATAATAACTTTCCCTGGCCATTATTCAAAGACTTATTATGCCATACCTTTAGTGGAACATACCCAGCTTGCAGATTAGTCAACCACAAAATACATACAAGGAGATGACTATTTGGGGGAACAGTGAAATATTTAACAGTAACATTTCCTCACCAGCAACAACTTCTCTCTCCTGTGTTAGTCGGCATAGTACCCTCTCAATCAAACCAATTTTAGTGGCTGCTTGCAAATTAGGAATGCTCTTTCTTAAAATTGCAATGAGCAATCCTAGAATTTGAACCTGTTGATGAAAAAAAGAACATTTTAAAGAAGACTGAACTCCGGGCTGTCACTAAGATTTCAACTTGCCTGCCTGGTAAATCCAACAAGCAGGCGAAAATCAAACAGGTATAGGGGAAAAATAATGGTACCAGTACCCGTGCAAAGTACTTTCCAAAAAATATGTATGGAAATAAAGGGTTTTTATTAATGGCTGGTCACCAGGGATTTTCCCTAGCAAATATGAATGTGACCCTAAGCTACTTTAATACCCTATTTGTTCATTCCCTCTCTATTTGGTGTATTTACCCTTCAATTTGAGATCTCAGTGACAGGTGTGAAATATGTAGTCATGTGGGTTAAAAAAAAGAAAGAGTCAAAGATATTTATAAGACTATTTATATACTTGGCTAAAGATGTTCATTATATGGCTTCCTGTTTGGGGGGACAAGAAAATAGTACAGGACAAGCAATTTGACAGTCATTTGACAGGTGTCAGAAATTCCAAAAGAAAGTTTTTATCGGCTTCGCAAGACAATAGCACATCACAAGGGCTTCGAATGTAAAATCGAAATGCAAATGAGCCATGATAAAAATTTCATCAAAACTAAGAGTTCTTTAAGTGTACAAAAAAAAGGAAAAGATCAAACTTTGCTGCAGTCCACAGTTGAAAAAAAAGAAGCCTCTATTTCTGATAATCAATACGTGGGTGCTTTGCAGAGCTTGATGGAATGATGTTAAAAACACAGTTGTTCATTGTTGCTCCTGCCAAAAAGCTTTGGCCTTGACAGAATTCAGCAGGGGGATTTGGACTTGACCTCATCTGGCTCTCAGAAGAAAACAATAATCTGCAAAAGATTTCTTCAAGAATTGACGTGGCGCCATTATTACTCATCGATCTTTTGCTCAAAGTATCTGACATTATGCGGCTGGTGTGTGAGGGTAGCTGATTTGTACAAACTCAAAAACTTTGCACATTTTTGTGGCCACTTAGTTGCATCACAAAATTTCCTGGCACACCAGTATCAAGCCGACAAGAAACTGACATTTTACAGATGGAATGATTCATCTTCCTGTTTTGAGCGGCTAAACCAGCAGTTTTTGCTGCCTTGGACATGAATTTCCCGATTTCGTTTTTGCCGGGTGGTGAGCACTTGTACCATGTTGCGCTTTGGCACCAGGTTTGGTGGTCAACTGCCAGATAGAATGGCAACTCTGGGTTGTTGGATTTCTGCAGACAGTGGTCCCTAAACAACTTGTAATAAAGAGCAGGTTATTGTTGGTGCCAGTGGCAAAAGCTTTAAGACAGAATTGATGTGATGAGCACTATCGCGACCTTGTTTTCCTTTCAGCTGTCCAAATTAGCACTACATGGCCAGTCTCTTCATCTACGTCAAGCACTACATCTCCCCAATACAACTTTCTGCTTTCATCTCTAGCTCTGAAGCAAACCACCAAAGGGTGCTGCAATGCATGCTGGTTGTGATTTCCAAATTAGCTTCCCTCCTTCTTCAACCATCAACTCACAGCCAGCGTTCGGGTTGTTTCCACGTCCTTGCTTAACTAAACTCTTTCTCTTGGCGGCCAAAACGCTCCTGATGAGGATGTTAAAAGGAAGTTTTTGCTACGTAATGTGATGCTGGATGCTCTTTTGAAAAATGGAGACCAAGTAAAGCTCATAGTTACTGGCATCATTTTTTCTCAGGTCTTTGAAAAAAATGCAGAGGTTCTCGTTAAGATCAGGAAAAGGTATGTTTGTTATACCAAAAGAACCACTCAGCTTTCTTTGGCAACAGGTGTAGAATCTCTGCCAGTCTAGTTTAGTTTTCTTGACTGTGTTTTTTAATTTTTGGCTTTGGATAAAGTTGTCAATTTCTTGGCTAGAATATTCTTCTCCACTATAATTAACTTCTTCATCCGCTTCTTTCTCAAATACATTTAGGTCAAAATTTGGCAGGGCGATGTTAACTTCCAGGCCCCGGTTATTCAAACATTGAATAGCACTATCCACCGGATAAATCACTATCCAGCCTAGGCCGCGGCTAGGTTGTTAGGGTTGACAGACAGTTTAAGATAGTTTTCTACCTTTTTTGCGGATAACGATTTAGAGAGCAAAATGAACAACTGCATTTATTTTGGTCTGTACAGTGAGTTATAATCTGCAAATTAACCAATTTCAAGGTGAAAACAGGCTTAGCCATATAATAAAAGGATTCAATGTCACTGTTGCATTGAAAATAACTTAATGCCTGGTTTAGGGTATTCTGCCCAAATATTGCTAACTTCAGAATCATGACAGTCTTGGTGTCCTGAAATTTTGGTCGTGCCTGTTTATTTACAGAATCAATTTGCCTTTTTAAAAATTTAAACAAAAATGTTTTAGCTCCATAATTTGAAAGGCACTCTGCATGTACTATCCTTAGGTTGTTTTCCTAAAAAAGGAAAAAACTACAACTTTAGCTAAGAACTTTGAAAGTGCCTTAAGCAGGTCTTACCCATTAAATCCTCTGTCTGCAAATCATTTTTTGTTTAATTCATCAACTGCATTCAAACCTTAACATCTAACAAAAGTTAATTTCTTTAACAAAGAAACCCTTTAGTCTCTAATATTTTTACCTTTTCATAACAAATTATTCAAGACTGTCATAAGTAAGGGCTGTTATAATAATGGGTTGGCATTTCACACACATACTCTTCATTTTTAATTACACTTTAAGACAACGAAAATTTTCTTACAAACCATACTTTTTGAAAAAAAAATTAAACATAGTTCTTTTACTTATTCATAGTTTGATTTTGACTTTTGATATCTCAATTTACATGCATGCAATGTCTGATATGGTCCAACCATGCACATTTTAATTTTTAAGTATAAATACGATCTATTTGTTTATTTATTATTATTTATATTCTGCATATTCTATAAAAATAATCATATGCAAGATAAAAGTAAGATTTGTGAAAATACAAATAGACACCTTTTTGCCCAAAATGATAAATAAATTAAATCTAAAATTTCCCACGAAAAGTCAATGATATCGTTAATAACACCTGCAGTGTCTACTTCCAGTAATATTAAGCTTACAGAACAATAAACATCAAGCTCATATTACAGTGCGCTATCCTGTGGACTCCACGACAGAAAAATCTTTCTTACTGAGTCTTGTACCCTTGACAATGAAAGTTACCCATCAAAAACTATCACTATGAACTAATCCGATGACTTAAAAATCGTGTGACATAGTCATAGAAGGACTGGATTTTGTTAAAAGACCACTGATGTCAATATAACTATAGATCTGTACGGTTGGATCTTTTAATAATGAAATCCTAAAGTGCGCAATAATAAATATACAGCTTTGTTCGTAAGAGCTTTCAAGAGGTGCTGTCCGTTTGTTATTTTTTGGGTGGAAAAATCTGGGTTTTTTGCAAGATGGCTCAGTGAAAGATACATCAAAGTTTTGGAAAAATCACGCACCTTTAATGAGACATTGCAGTGGCCTAACAGCTCCAATAATATGACAAGATCCGATGAGTCTTTGATGGTGAACCGCGCTTCCAGATCAAAAACTCCACCAACGAGCTGTTGAAACACAAAGGTTAAAAATAATATTTTGTAGGAAATAGAAAATGACATGTAATCAACACGATTCGCGCGCGCAGCCAATCCGGAAATGTATTTCCTCCTTCCCTAAACTTTATAATCCAATATCACCTCAAGTTCGACGAATTAAATGAACCAAAAAAATTAACTTGCAATTGAAAATAGAACTCATATAATGCTGATCTTGTAAAATAAAGAGAATATTTAGGGAACAAATTTAAAAAATAATGTCTTACCGAGTCAAACACGGTATCTACCACTTTTTTGTAATCGGTTTCGCCTTCGGCTTGTGCCTCACTGGCCAGTTGTATTAATTGTGCGAGTTTTGCTCTCGCTGCGGTGCCCACGACACTGATGGATCTTTCCCTATCATGATTCTTCCTGTCTCCGCTTCCATTGTTCTTTTTCTCAGGTAAGGCTTGTTCGGATTGAGAGCTGCTAATTGCAGGTGAGTCCGCCATGTTGGTTCATGTTGAATGGAAGTGCGCATGTTCGAAGCTTTCACAGGTACACCACTTATCCTACCCTCACACAGGAGAGTGAGTTTGTTGATTGAGTTTGGTTATCCTGTGTTAAGCCTCGTTTTGGTTCAGTCAGCTGATCTCAGCGTCTTGTGTTGCCAAGTGTACGGGAACAGTTGGAAAGCGTGGTTTAGTGTATTTGCAGCGTTTTGGTGCCATTTTTTGCCCGGTTTTTACCGTAAATGGGATTTTTAGCCCGTTAAACTCTTCTCTGAATATCTTTTATTGTTTTGATAAAAATCTGACTTTTTTCTGAGATGCCAGCGCCACGATCTAAGGTAAATAATTTAGCACGGTAATTAGTTGTAAGTTTCAAAATGTTGTTTACATCTCTGAATTCTTTATACGAGTAATCGAATGATCCGCTTAGACCTTAAACACTAAAATTATGTATTTTTGTTTTAAAGAGTTCAAAGAGTTCTGTAGTTAACATTTGTAGCATCTTGCTGACGTTCGTGATGACTTTCTAGGGTTGTCAGACTACGCATTCTTTTACATTGTTTACAATAAACTTTTAACCAATATTGCCGGTATTTTGAGCTTTTATTGAAAAGAGCCTTTAAATCTCTTAGGTGAGGTATTGGCGTTATTGCTAATTCAAAATCATAAATTAATCTGTATCGCCATTGTTATGTCTAGTATACAGTAAACAGATATCTCCCATCGGTCCAACTGAATCAGCATGGATTGTCCCGGCAGATCTCTAGGATGTTACTGACTTGTTGCTGATGTTATCAATAATTATAGTGGTTTTTAATAATATACCGAGTGTGTATTTTGCTTGGCTTAGTTTTTTGCGCTGAAAAATAAATGATATCATGAAATTTTGTTTGATCAGTAATTAGGTCCAATTAGGTTGACAAAAATTTGTAAAAAAAAAAATACAAACTAAAGAATCATAAATTATTTATGTTTTTATCATTTTTTAATCCCTACTGTGACAGCTGAGAGCTGGATTAATGACTCTTGGGGATGGAATACATGTACTTCAGTTCTTACTTTGTGTACTGCTTGATCCTCTTTTTTTCTTTGTATTGTCACAAACTCTTTTCACACAGAGATACGAATCAGAGTATTCTACCCATTACAAAAAATTTGATGCAAGACGTCCATACACTGTAAAAGGAGAAGTTACAAGATCACTGAGCTACAGCGACAGTAATGGCTCAACGCCAAGGGCTGGGCTACAATCAAGTAAGCTTGGGACCATTCATGAACCTCCACTGCAAAGAAAGAGAATTGTCCCTTATGAGAAGAACCACAACATCTTCACAACTTTTACTGTAAAGGAACAAGCAGACAGGGAGTGGCTCAGAAGTGACAGGGAATCTTACAGATCTCGCACACCTCCTGGCAGAAGGCGCAGAGAGGTAAAAGGAAATTTCTGCTCTCAATACTATTATACCCGTACATGTCAGTTAAAGAAATGAGTTGTTAATTTTATGACTTGCTAGCTGGAAAAAGTTTTGTATATCTGATTTATATGTGTATAGGTTAAGACTATCACTAAGATTTCAAGTTTCTTCACATATATAATAGTAATTTTTGTTTAAAGGTTGGATAGTGCTATTCAATGGCTAAACCACTATCCAATTGATAAGTAATCTAAAGGAAACCAATTACATTATCTGCTGGTGGATAGTGATTTATCCAGTACAACCTGGACGCTTATCTCTGAGCTGTACTGTAGATAACAATTATTATTCGCTGAAGTGGAGGTGGCTAGTGGTGGATACTAACAATTATTCCTCGAGCCTGAATGGGCTCTGAGTTAATAGCCCATGAGGCCTTTCATGGGCTATTGACTCAGAGACCATGTGGACGAGAGGAGTAAATTAGTAAAATCCAACTAGTTGGTCAGAAATATCAAGACGAAATGCGATTCAGCTGCCATTGTTTTGGTTTTCAAAGCCGGCGCTTTTCATTACTCGTGGACTATAACATATAGCCTAGTAGCAGAGCTCTCGCACACGAAGGGCACCAGCATAGCACCATGGGTAAGGAAATGAAGTAATCTACCCATCCGAGAAAATTTGGTAATCACGTCATCGTGTACTGACTGCCTACCCGATAGACTGTCCGTCCGCACCACAGGCATACCAATGAAAAATAACTCAATCAACAGGTATGGCAACCCAAATGCAACTCGAGGTTATTTTGGTGGGAAATCGCACAGCCAGATGCGTCTTGTAAAGCAGAGACAACAAAAGAGTCAATAAAGACAAAAACGGAAAGTGGAAATTGTTTCTGTATCCATGTTGTCTAAAGTATTAAGCTTAGATAAATTTTCATGTCCACAAATTTGGAATATAGAGCAAGAGAAAGACAGAGAAAAAGAGAAAGTGGGCGGCAGGCCAGCGAGGCTCAACGAGAAAAAGGGCAACAGGGATTTAGAGCAAGAGATAAAAAACAAAGGAGACATTTTTTAGTTGGAAGAACAACAAGAAGTTTCTGGAAGTTTCACGTTGTAGTCATGCAAAACAACGGCAAAGAAATGTACAGAAAAAAGTGCTGCACGTGCAAAGTTGCTTTTGCTAATTAGACCTATTGTTGTTTTTCACTGTTTTCCCGCATTGCATGCTTTCGCTGCTTAGTATCACACAATTTTATATTTTGTTTGAACAAACTATAAATATTATCAAGAGCTTCGCTTTTAGCCCTGGCTAAATCTATATTAGTAGCTCAACCAATCAGAATGCAGCATTGATAGTAGACCACTAGTTGGATGTTACTAAAGATATATATCCACCACTAGCCACAATGAGGTGAATGTAATTATTATTGTTTTAATTAGTATATACTATTAAAAACAGCCGAATGTTTTCTTGCAAACAAGTAAAACATTTGAAGGCATTTGTTTTAAGCCCTTGCAGGGACATTTCTTGTGTGTTTGAAACCGTTCTGTTAAAAAAGCCCTTTTAATTTACTTTTAAGCTAATTTTAATCAGTGTGTTTTAGGTGATCATGTCAGCTGAATGAAGTAACGCAAGACTTAGTTTGCATTATTGTAAACAACAAACTTTTTTCAGTGGTTTCATTGATAAATTCAGATTAAAGAGACATAGCTTTACCTGTAAATACTTCCAAACCAAATTTTGTCGCCTTGTTTATGTTGTGGGACTTCTTCGCTTGTTTGTGAAATTTCTTTATTTGTTATGGTAACAAGCCGGAAAGCTGCAGTTTGCTCATAACTTACGCCAGTTTGGTATTGCTCAGAGGTAAACAGCACTGGATATCCCACGGTTGTCACTAAGATTTCAAGTTGCCGGGTAAATTACAACAAGAAGGCGGGGAATCAAACGGCTAGGGATTTCTTTTGGTTCTATTTTTCTTCTATTTTCCAATAAAAGAAGCCGGGGGCCACTCTCTTAGTAGCCGGGCAAAATCCCCGGCCCCTGGCTCTTAATGACAACCCTGGATATCCCAACTTTGAGTGGCCAATCAGAGTGTGCGAAAAACACTATCCACTGTCTTAGTTAATATTATACTAAATAGTGTTATCCTTCCTTTTGAACAACTGGGGCCTGATGGTTAACGTGTTGTAAATTTAGGAGAAGGCCATAAAGGAAGAAAGGGGCACCAGAGCAATTGACAGAAGTGAAACGCCAATCCTTGCAGCAGAGAGAAAAATCTTCAAGGAGCCACGTGCAGATATTCACCGGACAGTTTATGTACCAGACAGAATTAAGAGAAAGAGTACATACAAAGGTGATTACGTGGACTACAAGAAACAATCTAAAGCTCCAACTGGGACAAGACAAAACAGCAAGCAGAAGCAACGCCAACAAAGTCCAAAGAAAGTAGTTGGTGGAAAGAAAGAAGGTAAGAAGATGGAAGAAAAATTGATCAATATGTCTGAATGGCTTCTTTGCAAATCCTTTAGTTTTGAATTAGGGCTGAAAGAGATGAAGGGTTTAAGTGGAAAGTATTACATGCTTTTGTGTGGACTTTCTTAAAGTCCGTTAATTTTTTTTCCCTGTTTGGGTGGGCCATTTTTTACGTTTCTGTCAAAAATGGTATATTAAGAAGAGTATAAGGCCAGCGATCAGACCAGTCAGGTCAAAGCCTCAATCTCTTGTAGAAACTTTGTTGACTATCGCCCCCTCTGCCCATTCCTGGGACTTAGCCTTTGCTGTAAATTAAAGTTAAATTCAGGTTAATTTTGTCTCCTGGCTTTTTTAAAAATAGTCAAGAATTATGGTAAGGAGACAAAGAAAATTGAGAATATTATTAACCACGCTTAAAAGAAATTAACCTGGACTAAATAGCCAACATTTTGCAACCCCACCACTACTGGTTTCCCTTGTGAGGTGATTTTTGACAAACAAAGAATTCTGTACTAATGTCCTGTCACTACTAAGATCTGGAAAGTGCTTCTGATTGGTTGAAGCAAATTTCCCATGTGGCACAAACAATCAGAAGCCCTAACCCAGATCTGGGTAGTAATATATATCATCACTCTTGAAGAAATTCATTAGGTTAGTATGTTCAAATATCTATTCAAATGTTCTTAAAGGAGAGGCCCAAAAGAAAAATCCTAATGATGCTGACAGTTTGGATAACTGACAGCCATCTTTATCAAAACTAAAACGTCACAGGTGTCAGTAGCCCTAAATAGGCTTCAGAACACTCCTACCATCAACAGAGATGAGGGAGCATACCAGCTATCTCCTATATGGACCCATGTGATTTTCACCCCCAACCAGGGGGGAGGGGCAGCCTCGACAGAGTGATTTTGCACATTTGTCACAATTAACTCCTTCAGAAGCCTATTCAGGGCTACTGAAACCTGTGATGTTTTAGTTTTGGTAACGATGGCTGTCAGTCATCAAAACTGGGCAGCATCATTAGGATTTTTCTTTCAGGCTATGCTTTAAGAACATTTTAATGGATAAATTCATCATCAGTATGAAATTTATGTGCTTGTTCCTTGTGAAATGTGGGCTGTTTTCATCAGGCTAGTCTTGATTTTGACGTGCAGCTAAGGGCTTTAGAAATATAGAAATATGTATTCACTGTATTTCTAAACACCAGTACTAAACACCAGTCTTGTTTACATTCTGCACTAGGCACCAGCCCAGACCGCCTGCCTCCAGCTGGCATTCGCAGAGCAACAAGCATTGGTGATACTCGGCTCCTGAAACCTTCCGATGATTCCCAGTACATGAGGTCTCCAGAACGTGAACAAAAGTAAATTTTTTTTGCTATCCCTAGTGACTCATGAGTCAATTTTGTGCCCTGCACATTTCAGTGCCTACATGGGTAACAAATTAATATTGAGCAGATTTAAGCAAAAATGCTATCCAAAGTATTTTCCATTTTCAAGGAAAAACTGGTCAGAATGAAGTATGTTCACAGCAATACTGCTAAATCTCATTCAAACCAGTAAGAGCTACAAAACTCTTTGACTTTTCTGCCAAAAATACCTTCATTCAGTTATCTTGGAAAGTTGACATTACTCAAAAGCAGACTGCAAGGTTCGTCAATTGAGTATGGCTGGACTAATGGTATAGATTTTTTTCCACGTATTCCAGCTGGAATCTGGATTAAAAAAGAATATAACTGAGCATTTTATCTGTTTGAGAAGCTTTCATTAGAGGATGAACTGTACCATACTTGAGATTTCAACCAAAATTCTCCGTCTTTTCGTTCCAAAATTAAACGCTCTAGTCGTCCCTCCCAAGTTTAACCGTCCCCTTTTTCTTATAACCCTGAATCCGAAGCAAAGAGATAAAAGGGCTTATACTGACTTTGCCTTGAGATTCAAACTTGCAAAGAAAATGGCTTTTTGTAGCTAACCTACGATAGGAGTATACAGTATTATGAAAGCCATTGTTATGACGTTGAGGTTTCAGAATATAGTGGTACAAGGCAAATAATTATGCACATGTATTTTTTACTGTCATTTTATGTTTTACTGTTTGACTGTTTTAATCCTCTCTTCATTTTTCCAGGGTTTTTGACTCGGAGTATAGTAGCCGCTACACCCAGCCAACAAAATTCAAATACGTTGATGGTTTATGGATAGAAACTCCCGTTAATACTGGTGCAACTTACAACGTAAAGGTTAGCGTGGAAGAAATGACAGAAATTGACTACAAAGTACAACAAAATACTAATACACACATGCTCTCTGTTACCAGAAAAAGAATTAATAAAGTGAAAAAAAACAACAACAAAATGATGAAGAAAACGACAAGAAAATACAGTGAAAATATTACCTCAAGTAAAATATATATCATAATGATGATGCAAAAATAACTGAAGACGTGGCAAAGAAATAAATATATTAGAAAGCAAAAAAGATAAGAATACAATATCCACGCCAATTTATTGAGCAATATTTATATTCGTGCGTATTCATCCACTAAAATCGCTTGTTTTCTGCAACATTTTCAACCTTGTTAGTATAATTCTTCTTATTTGTCAAACTATCTTCTAACTAGAAACTCGTATAGCTTTAAATAATAAACTTTTAGTTTCGAATTATTATTATCGTTATTATTATCGTTTATTCTTATTTATTTATTTATTTTTATTGTTACTTTTACTTTATTAGGACAAGAAGAAAACGCCGGATTGGTTTACTCAGGTATGTAGCATTATTTTTCCTGATTTTATTACGTCTTAATCATTGCAGTTTTTAATAACTTTTTCTACTAATGTAAACTTCCTATTTTTTTAATACACGCCTCAATTTTAAAGAACATTTCTCGCGTGTACCTCGCTCTCGTACAGCTGATCAGTCATATGATTTTTTTTTTGTCTTGAAGGTGGTGGAACGACGTAATGAAGCCTATGGCTATTCCCAGCATGCACGAGGAACACACTTCTCTCGCGAGAATCTCGATGCGATCAACAGGGAACAAGCGGAACGTGCGAGTTCTCGATCCGAGTCACATAGATCCTCGTCTCCAGCTGAAGAAAGAAAGAGAGACCGAGATTTCATGCCACGACCCAGACCAAGGAGCGCTTCGCCACCGCGAAGACGCGAGGCATGGGCCGAGGAGCGTGAGCACTTACCGAGACGGTCCGACGACAGACGAATGAGTTTGGGAACAGACGCGACTTCTGATGACGACGAAATGGTTCTCGAGCGAGGCCGATCCCCAACTCCGGAGCTTCGGGATACGAGGAGCTCCCGACGACACCACCTCGATATAACAACGAACATCTTGAATGACAGCTTTGAAAAGTCGCTGTCCTTTTCCAAGAAGAAGAAACCTTCGCAAGGGGTTCGAAATGGATCTACCACTCCACCAAATGAAAAAAGAGATATCAGACCAGTAAGTCCTGCCTCCAGTGTTGGTTTAGGAGATGACGCAAGATCATATACACCTCCGCGTAAGGTTGAACGACCCCGTCCGGACGCCTCTGGTAACGGTTCAATTGTTAGCGCGGGGGGAGGTGTAGGGGAAGGAGACGATGACGTCCTCTCCGTGTCCGCCATGTCCAGTCGAGCTTCCACGGCGTCTGAAACCCTTGAACGAGCAAGAAAACGGCGAGATGAGTTTTGGAAAAAAGAAAACACATCAAGATAGAACTTTCAGGGCCGAGTTTTTAATTGACTAAACGAAAAACAAAAACACCCGGATGAAAGAGTCTAGTTTTGAAAATGATTAGTAGTTTTGGTACGAGGTTCGATTCAGACTTGATACAGGGTGCCTTTTTTCAGATAATTGCTCTAACGAGTGTAAGTCACAAGCGTATGTAAATTCCAAAAACAAGCCTTACACGTCCTACGGGCGTGTCAGGGCTCGCGCGCTTCGACGAAAATCTCACGCAGGCGCCTTGAAAGACCAATGTTGAGGGGCAAAAACGACTGTTTTGCAGTCTTAAAGTATCAAGGATTAAGTTGCTTAAGATTCAACCTTGGTCGTAAGGTGACGTTTGACGTTCAGACGCCAATGAACCTCTGGTGCTAAATATCAACGACAAACATCTTACGTTTTTTCGCAACTGACCTCAGAGTGTTAAGTCTGAACGGGACCTTGTTCTGTTGTGACTCAGTAAATGCTTTAATCTAGGAATCTAACTAGATGCAGCGTAAGGCGTAACGGCGCTGACACGATATCATCCATGATATGGTTTAACTTAACAAAGTGGCGCATAGCCACAAGTCACGAGCCATTTATCTTACTTTGCCTTAGTGAAAAAAAGTTTATCAAGTTGATTTAGTCTCCATTCTAGTCACACATGTCATTTTGATCTACAGGTGAAAAAAAAGTGTAACCTCCGTTGAACTCGCGAGAAAAAATAAAGAAGTGAGTAGAGCTTGCACATGAATAAAAAATTACAACACTAAAACTTTAAAGGGGAAAAAACCTTCACAGCATGTTTTAACATTGTACTTAAGAACGTGTATAAACTTGTAAATAAGAACTTGTATTCAAGAAACGGTTAATAGCGTTCTTGGCAAGATCTTCAAAGTTTTACGTTTTACCTCTTGTTTTAGAAAATGGAATGTGGTCAAAAAATATGCTTGTGGTTTCACTCAGTATAATCCTGGTCTTTCATTGAACTGATTACATTCGACGCACTCCTCCCGGCGACCACTGCCGACCAGTTAATAGTTACAGACATCATGTGAAACCGCGTTTAACTGTGACGTAACTGTGGCTAAAGCTCTCTAATGGGTATTACACTAGATATTTTGAAGTGCTAAAGGCTCGTCAACTTTTTTAAAAATGTGATAAGTAACAAACGCTTTTTTACCCGGCTACAAGTTCCCACGAAAACGACCTCTCTCGATAAACACATCATTAGCCCATTTTCGTAAGTGGTCGCTTAGAGGACTTTGACTGTATTTTAAATTAAGTTATATCACTTTTAAGAACGATTGTTCCCTCGTCGTCCGCCTAAAGTTGGATTAAAAAACACCAATGAGTTGTCTCCATTACTCATTAGTTTTTAACGTAACGTGGATTAAACCTGTGGATGATTTTGCATTAAAAACCCGTCTTGTTTTAACTGACTTTTAAGAAAAATACTACCAAAGACACTGAATTGATGAAAGAAATGTGAAAGCGTTGGTTTGTCCTTTTATCTTTTAATTGGAACGGCTGACAAATCTAATTTGGAGTATAAGTGCCAATAGTGATGATAGCAGAGGAGTAAACAAAAGTATTAGCACTTTAAAACTATTTGTAAAGAATATTCTCATGAGAGCGTGGAACTGCAAACAAAACACTAATCCCCTTGCTTAATTGAATATCGATTTCATGCTGTAAACATTTAATTCGTAGCAAGAGCAGAGGAGATATATTTAAAACAAGCGTGAAATACGCAAACCATTGCTTGTTTAAAAACTGTAAAAAACGGAACTTGAAGTGGAAATGAAACTTTCCTATTGCAGTTTACCGCGTCTTTATCAGGAAAGAACAGGGCGCAAAGAGACTTCTGGGAACAAGGAAACTTCCAGAAATATTGCAGGTTTGTAATAGACAAATAGTTATCTGCAGCTAGTTTCGCAATCAGTTAGTGAATTCAACTATGTGAACCATGTATTTAAATGACAAGGTCCCATCCGCTGCGGCTGAAAACGAAGAGCTATTGAGCCGACTGCGGACAATAATACGCAAACTATTGTACAGTATACTGTTATGAGCTGTTCAGCTACCAGTTAGTAAATCGGCGACCTTACAGGATCACGTTTACTTATAAACCCCCATCAGTCATGAGCCATCGGCGGTTCTCATGCGCCCTAAATAAGGTGTTTTCCAGCCAGGATTCTTATATGCACACATGTCGCATCGGGTGCAACCTCGAACTCAAGTGGTATTTCCATCCCTCGTTTTCGTTCATTTTTGTGTGCAGCAAACTTCGAAATAGACTGAAGCGATCTTTACTGTACATAGTAACACGCCGCAAAGATTTGTTTTAGACTTCCTTATGTCAACCACACTAGCCTACCCAAGGCGTGTTCTCAGTTTTCGTGTTTTTTAGGTGAGCTAGGCAGGCACGATCGCGCGTTTCTTGCGCTCCACGTCCACTTCGCGCTTGCCTTTGCGTCGCCTGTTGTGCAGGCTACAACCATGCAAACAGGATCCTCTCGACGATGTTATCATAAAAACCGATCGCCAGATAAAACCGTCACAATGCATTACAGACAAGAAGAAGTTATTCCCGAAACTACTGTTTTCTCTACAGTATCTTTAAGTACTTTTGTTGCAATTTATCACTCACGATGCTGTGGCATAGGTCGTTGACCCAAACGTTGCATAAGTGATTGTGGGTTCCACTGGTCGAAATTTATAGCCAGCGGGTTAATTGGAGGTACTTCCGTTCACTATTTTTTTCTTTTTACTCAGGTATGGGGTGTTTTCGCCTGGCCTAAAAATAAAAACCGGTAAATGCTTCTGAAAAGGGTATGTTTTTCGGAGAAAGAGCCATAATCCGGATCATGGCTCCTGTTTCGGAGTCCTGACTCTTAAACAGGGAATGCTATTTGACCATTTAGTGTGTTATAAGCAAAGAGTCTTTCTGGACCGGAAGCCTTGAGCAGGGTGTAAGCGTTGGCTTTGAGGGGATGATCTTCATGTTTGCTACAAACATTTTTTCTTTTAATGATACGTATTCTGTATAAAGAGTTTATTCTGTTTGCTAAATAAAATGGGTCAGGGTCATAAAAAGATAAGGGCTCTCTTCTTAAACAGTGTATGGAAATGAATGGTGCTTGCCTTTTTTGAAGCCCGCGGGCGCACAACCCTACCAGAACTTCGCTTAAAGACTACCCACACCCTCACCCCAGACAATTTCGTCCACGCAGGGGTGAAACCTCTCGCCATTCTTTCTATAGCCCTGCACCCCCAGAAACAGCTGCATAAGTCAATTATCAGTACAATTGACGTCAAACATCCTCCAGATATGATCAACGCTAGCTGGTAACGGAGAATTAGTCGAGGCGTTAGGCCAATCAGAAAAATAAAAGAAATATTTTGATCGAGTAATTATTCTCAGTAATAGCTAAATATTCTTTAATTTAAAACTCTTTTCCAGCTGTATGTAAATTCCAATTACCTTTAATTCAACCCAATTCTTTGGGGGACAATCATGAAGCAAAAAGCAAAACGAGAGACTTCATTCAAGGTAGGGTATTGAAATTTTCTCGTAATTCTATTGGATGTACCATTTCAGCCTATTCATAGCTATAGTCATCTCTAAAGCTATATCTTATACATATATAGGCGACAAAATGGGCACTACATTGCCGAAAGTGCAGTCTCCGCCAGTTGCTCGCATGACTACCACTTTTAGAGAGAGTTATCGGGGTATGTACGGTCCTCCTGCACCAAGTACGAAGTAAGTATGTGTAAACAAACAGACTCTGTTAGTATGTATCAACTGCTTACAGGCCGTTGGTCTAAATTTAACGCCAATTTTTCTTTGGCGAAGTCGAGGTAAAAAAACGCAAAAAGAACGCGGTCAATATGAGAACCATCTTGACCTGACAAGTTTAATCAATAAAGGATTTATTATGTGACAGACAAGATAACGTTTTCTTGAGCTCCAGTAGCCAATCAGAACGCAGGATTCATATCATCTTGTCTGATCGCCGAGTCAGCCACATAATAGGGCCATTTATACGAGGAAAAATAAGACGCATCTTACATAAGACGCGTCTTAAATAAGACGCGAACTGTACCATTTATATGAGCATGTCTTATCTAAGACGAGAACAGCTCGTATAAATGGTTCGCGTCTTATTTCTGTTCTTGACTCGTTTTCGTGTGAATGTTGCCCGTAGCAACGGCAATCCAACGTGTCGCGCCAAAAATTAACGCATGCGTACTATGCGTTCGCGTCTTATGTAAGACGCGAAGGTCATTTATACCAAGTTTTTCTCTAGTCTTAGCTAAGACGCGTCTTATCTAAGAACAGGTGTTAAGGGCTGTTCTAAAATAAGACGCGTCTTAGCTAAGCCGCGTCTTATTTTAGACAAAATGTGCCGTTTATAGGGAAAGTTCGCTTCTTATTTTTCCTCGTATAAATGGCCTTACTAAGTCAGGTTATAGAGCGTTTTCAGTCACGTGGCCAGCAGCTACTGATGGGAAATCTATTGCGACAAAAGAAAGCGTGAGTTCAATACTCAAAGGACTGGTTTGGGGCACCAATATACTAATATTGCTAAAGTAAATAAAATGCCATGCCAATAGTTAGAACTGCCAAAATAAAAACTGATTGACATGCATGATTGTAAGAAAGCATTAAATTTTTTTTCTTCAATCTTTTTGTAGACGTATAGAGGTAATGCCTGCTCCTCACAAAGTGGGATCTTCCTCTTACAGTATGGATTTTGGGCCCAAGCCATTGAGGCAGCGCACAGCACCAAAAGTTCGTCAAGGAAATATCCTAAACTCGTATCCCGGGAACGTTTTATACCCGTACACATTACCAGAGCAGGTAGGTGATAGATTGAGACTACAGTATGTTCGTTCCCAGTTGTCCATTTGAGATAAAATATACGTTATTTGTACAGATTCATCTTATCCATCTAACCATACATTCATAAATCATCAGACCAGGCTGGCAATACATTACATGTCCCTATACTAGTAGTACCCTCTGGTATGCTCTATAACTTTGATGCTAGAAGCCAGAAAAATTGCTAACTGCTGATCATCCTAACAGACCGTTTTTGAAAGATGCAGACAAAATTGGTTAAAATTGAACAATGGCTGAAAATGTAGTGAGTGGGATGTAGTAGTTAAATGGCTGTAGTTCAATTCCAGTAGTTTCTTCGTCTATACCAGGCTCTAAGGGGGACTAGAGTGGTACTGATGTAGCAAAAAAACAAGACAAAACAAGCAAAAATAACGCTATGTTCACATTAAACCGGATAGCTCTTGTGCCGGCACCGGACGAGATTGATCTGTTCACCCAAAAGAACGGTGATTTCGGCGCGATTTCTGTAACGGAGCGTCTTTGCGCCGCGCCGATCTCGGAAGTTGAGAGTCACCTATCGGATAGGTTCTGTGCCACACTTAGGTGCAATGTGAACAGGTATTTGGACCGTAGTGGAAGTAAATAAGTAGGAGCGAGGTCTGAAATCCACTGAAAAGGAAGTAAAGATTTAGGGGTTAGGAACAAGTTCGCTGCGATTCAGACTGGGACTCGGTTCTGTTGATTGTGTCATTGCAGTGGGCGGAGTTGTCTGATGAGCCGCTAGTCTCGTCTCCTTCATTATTTCTTCTCAATTCAGAGGTCACGCACTCAAAGAAATCTTATGTCCTCAGAAATAAGACCAGAGGCCTTTAAACCGATGTTCTGACATCCGTCTTATGACCGGTGTAGCCTAGTCTGGGAAGGAGCGTTGCGTAACCATTACTACAAACGGCTGTGTAGCAGCTAGACTAGGTGTAGCCAAGCTGCAGCTGAAGATAGTTAGGTTTATAACACCCCCACCCTACTCCCTCAGTATAATTCTTAATATCGTACTCACCTTCGTCCAATAACTGCTAATTACTACGTTCGCGACCAAACTTTGTGTTTACTTCATTACAAGAGTGACGTTGTTTAGGAGCCCATGATCAGCAGCAAGCAGTTTCCATGCGCTCGTATCACGGCGTTTCACCACGGACCAGTTTATTTTTAGAACGGTTTTGGCGCCAATTTTGAATATCTTTTAAATTCCACAAACCAGTTAGCAAAACCTACAGACCTAAGAATGATATTTTTTACCTTTTAATAACGTTTAGATTTCCTTTTTGATATCTTATGCTTTGAGTGCGCTCATAGACATGGTGGAAATTCTATTTCCGCGGGAAAA